GTTGGCCCGGTGCATGGCACAGCTATGGAGGTGGTGGACGAGACGGAGGCTCTGCAGCGCTTCTTCGAAGGTACGGCGGGCGGCGGGGAGACCTCCTCTCTTTCCTTTCCCTTTCCCTTTTCTCTTCCTTCCTTCCTTCTTCCCTTCCTTTCCCTTTCCTCCTTCCTTCTTTCCTTTCCCTTTCCTCTTTCCTTCTTCTTTCCCATTCCCTCCTTCCTTCTTTTCCTCTCCATTTCTTCCTTCCTTTCCTTTTCTCCTTCCTTTCTTTCTCCTTCATTCTATTTTTCTTTCTTTCTCTTTTTGTCTTTTCCCTTTTTTCTTTATTACTTTCTATCTCTTTCTCTGTCTCCCTTTCGACCTAAAAATGTCTTGTCCACATAACAACAGAGCGAAGAAAACCAGGGCTGAAGGATGTTTCTCCATCTCTGCTCTTTGCTTCCTTTGAAGAACATTGAGCAGAGTTTTTTGCAGAGCCTAAAGCTGCTGTTTGTTTCCCTTGGTCATCTGCATCCCTTTGGTGCTGTTGTTCAGGAGCATCTGTTATAACACAGTGTTGGAGAGGAGGCGTTTGAACGCAAAAGTGGAGCCCATCCTTTGCTCTGTGGAGGTGACAGGCCTGTAGTGCCTGATTTTGCAGAATGGAGATGGATCTTCCCTGGAATCTGCGTGAACTGGAGGGCTAAATGGTTTCTGGGTGTTTAATGCTGGTCTGTTGGAGTTCATTAATTTATGGGGATAAAGTAGAAACACTTCGTTGTTCCTATGTAACAACTTGTTTAAAGGTATCTGCAGTTTCCTTTCCCACGTGTGGGGAAAAAAAGGTGATCTTTTTTATAGTGGAATCCTTTTCCTTCTCTCGAATGGAGATTTCTCCCCGCTCTGAAAGCCCTGAAATAAGGAGGGAATTCCCTTCCGTTTGCTTGGTGTGGCTTTGCACAGGATCCGAGCTGGCATTCAGTATTTCAGCATCGTCCCCTGGAATGTGGTTCCTGCACTCTGAGATCTGAGACTTGGAGAAGGACGGCAGTGTGAGAAGCACAGGGCTTCGCTCTGCGGCTGAGGAAGGAGTGGGGAAAAGCAGAGAGCAGTGGGGCACAGCGTGGCCGGGACGGAGGGGTGTGAGGTTGGGAGGAGAGCGCACAGGATGCTGGGGCTTCTGGCAGCAGAGCTAAAGGAGCTCGCTTTGGTCTTTCCATAGCATTGGGAGTGTTTGTCTGGAGCATTTGTATTTTGTATCAAAGGAAAAGGAGGGAGTTGAAAGCGCCTGACCCTTGGCTGGCATCCTGCTAGAAACCTTACCTTCCTCCCTGCCTACCGCTCGCGTAAGGGAAAGAGTTACGACAGAGCTCAGCTATTTGGGATCCCTCTCTCTCCCAGCTAATTTATGAGATAAGAGGCTGCTAAAGAATGTATAGTGGGAAGGATGCGCAGAGCCGGGCTGGAGGGGCAGGGATGGGGGTGGTTTGGCCGTGGGGACTGGGCAAGGAGTGCCCAAGAGAGTGGTAAGAGCTGAAAGCTTGGAGGATTTGGGCTTGGGAAAGGTGGTGGATAATAAGGTTAAAGGCAATTTTCATTGAGGGTGTGTGAGACCTGTGTGTCTGTGCAGGGGCTGTGCTTGCTGCTGGAGTCACGGGAGCCCCTGAGCTGGGAGGGAGCACCCTGTTTATCAGCAAGGCAGCGAGCACATCGGTGTCAGTGAAGGGTTTTGGCCAGCGGTGTGCTCACAGGCACAGTGCCTTAGTGGCTACTTTTTTTGGTGAGTTTTATTGGGTATTATGGAGCACTTTCCATATGTCAATAGGAAATGCCACCCTAAGGGAGGTGATGTGGGTCACTGCTCTGTTTTCCTGCTTAGGGGGAAATTCTTAACTATAGGGTGGTAAGGGTTTGGCACAGGATGCCCTGAGAAGCTGTGGGTTCCCCATCCCTGGAGGTGCCCAAGGCCAGGCTGGATGGCGCCCTGAGCAGCCTGAGCTGCTGGGGGGCAGCCAGCCACGGTTCTATGATTCTGTGATCTTTAAGATCCCTTCCAACCCGACCATTCTATGGCTCTGTGATCTTTAAGATCCCTTCCAACCCGACCATTCTATGATTGTACAGTTTTTTTTGAAACACTTGGTCTTGAGGTAGCAGTGCAATTACAGAGGATCAGAGTGTCTGGTTTCCTTTGAGGCATACAGAAAAATATTTTTTGGGGTGCAGATGGATTTCACATTGACTGTTCTACCTGCCCAGCCTGTGCATGCCCTGAGTGCATTCGTGGCAGTAAGCTTTGCCATGCATTGCTGTGGTGCTGCATGTGGGGCCATGGCTCAGGGCAGAGGTGGCCTTGCGGTGTCACCATCTCTGTGGGGTGGGCTTGAGCAGCGGGGAAGGAAAGAGGCTTTGTGTGGGGCTCCTTGCTGAGCAGAGTGAGCCCGTGACAGAGTCGTCCTGGGGAACCTGGTACAGCACAAACACATGACCATCCCTCCTGGTAATCCCCTTGCAGACCCAAATCCCAGAGTGTAGCAGCTGTGTACTCCCTGACCCTCCCACTCTACCCCAGAGGAATAGAAAAACTGGCAATCAGCAGCCCTGCAAGCTGGACAAGCAGCAAAATGACAGAGGGTGAGAGCAGGGACGCAGCGGGGATTTGATGTCTGCTCTCACCATGCTCAGGATGCACTGGATCCGAGCAGGTAACAGTACAGGTCCCTCTCCATCTCCCCACAGCTCAGCTTCCCCTCCTCACTGCCCTCTCTGTCTCTTTTTTTTCTGATCCCACTGCCAGCTCCGGGTAGCATTCCTTGGTGGAGGGAGTTGCTCCATCCAGGAGTAGCAGGAGGATGTCCAAGAGCCTTCAGCCACAGCACTCATCCTTGCCCTCGTAACCACACTGGTTCTTCTCTGCGTCCTGCCTTCTTTCCTCAGCTTCCCCCATACCTGCTTTCTCCTGGCTGGGAAAAGGACAGGGGATGTGGGGACAGAGAAGCTACTCATAGGAGGGTGGATCTCTAAGACATCTAGTAAGGGGTGGCTTGTGATTCAGAGCCACGTGCGCCCATGGAAGCTGTGTCGGGGATGGCGAGAGGTACTTTGTCCATGCTCAGATTGATGTTGGTGTGTGGGGAGCTGATGCCCATGCAGGGACCAGCCATGAGGCAGGGAAAGGTGCCATGGAGCCTTGGAGAGATGTGATCAGGCTGCTGGTGACTCAGAGATCCTGCTGGCTGCTGCCTGCAGCAGGTATCAGAAAGAGATGCTGGCCCAGAGGGTGCCCCGCTGGGGTGGGATGGAGGATCCTGCTGGGCCGAAGAGGTGCTGCTGTTGGTGTGATGTGAGGGCAGGCAGCTGTGGTGCTGACCCCTGGACGTGGTGCAGTGATCCCAAAGGCGGCCAAGGCCAGGAGCCTCGTGGAGGCATTTCTGTGTCTGGTACACACACAAAAGTGCGAGAAGGCAGCAGTGAGTGGCTTGGGTCTTCTGGAGAGAAGATGTGAAGGTGGGAGTTGTCACTTGGCCTCAGGGACTTGTTGATGTGAGTAGGGTGTGTGGCTGTGGATCCTGGCCAGGAGGTTGAACTGTATGCTCCCTGAGACACAAACCAGGACTTGGTGCTGGGCTCGTGCTTGGGAATCGCTTGCCAACGCGTGGGCCTTCTGGGGAGGTCCAAAGGGCTGAGGAGCCCAGAGGAGAAAGCTTTTGTCCCCAGCCTGCACCACCAACTTCTCCAGAAGCCACCACCTGCCCGTCCATGGTTTTGGGTAGCAGGGCCAAGTGCGGCTTTGGCTTCTTCATAGGGATCAAGACTTCTCGCAAGGTAAGGAAGCAAAGCAGGGTTTGTCCAAGGGAAATCCTCCCTTGGAAGAACAAAGCTCTCCAGCGTATGTAAAGTGGTGAAAGTCTCCACTGATCAAAGTGTGCACGGTGAGTGCTGCAGGGAGCTGGGCACTGCCCTGGGGCGCACACGGGTGCATGCGGCAGGTCCCTGCACTGCATCCCTGCCTGGTACTGCAGCGGCACGGCTTGTTGGGAAGCCCCTGGTCTCCCTGCAGCCGTGCTGCTGGTTGGGGCTTGGACTTTGTGCTCTCTGATAAGAACCCCAGTAAGCTAAAGGTGCCTGAGGAATGATTAACCAGCGTGTGCGTCGCCAGAGGACGGGGGAGCAGCTGGAGGCACAAACAGGAATGGGCTGGTGGCTTTTGGGATGGAGCTGGCCGGATGCCTCTTCCAGGCTCCAGCTCATAGGGTAGCATCCTTCAGGAGAGAGAACCTTCTGGAGTTTTCCAGGGTGACCTTAGAGCTGTGGGCAGGGAGAGATGAGGCTGTCAGGTACAGCGGAGGTGCAGAGCCCAGAGGAGAGAATAGGGGTGCTCTTAGAGGCCGGGTGGCTGTGGCACCACACTTGGCTACCTGTTGGCTCCCACATCAGGCTTCATGGGTACACTCTCTTCCTTCTTATCTTTCTGAACTTTGTCTGTTTTGATGCCAGTGGGTTGTGATTCATAGAATCGTAGGATGGCCTGGGTTGAAAAGGACCACAATGATCATCCAGTTCCAACCCCCCTGCTGTGTGCAGGTCGCCAGTCAACAGACCAGGCTGCCCAGAGCCACATCCAGCCTGACTTTGAATGCCTGCAGGGATGGGGCATCCACAGCTTCCTTGGGCAACCTGTTCCAGTACTTCACCACCCTCTGTGTGAAAAACTTCCTCCTAATATCTAACCTAAACCTCCCCTGTCTCAGTTTGAAACCATTCCCGCTTGTCCTATCACTATCCACCCTTATAAACAGCCTCTCTGGACTTAACCTGTGTTCGCCTTTCCTTTCTTCCCACTCTTTCTCCTTCCTCATCCCCATTGCTCTATCAAGTCGTCTATCAAGTCGTCTTCCACTGCTCTCATTACTCATATGCCATGATCTAGCTGTTGGTGTCTCCAGTTTTTGGGAGAGGGTAATGAAAGTTAGAATGTGTGCCAGACGACGCTTATTAATAAACAGCTCTCACTGATGACTTTCAGTCCGTTGTGCTGATTACAGCTATCTGCTGGAAGTCCAAACAAACAGGAAACCAAACAGTTTATCAGTCAGCTCGATCTTGGCTTATCTCTTCTGTTATGACAAGTAACAGTTATGGACATTGATACAATAAAGCCCTAAAAAGCACAGCTTTGACTTTATTGGAAATGAAACACCTGCTTAAAGCAAAGCAGAGGCTTCAAAAGGGCACTGTAAGAGCCACCAAGCCATTGCACAGTTGGCTGCTTGCTGATAATCTGATGGATGCTCAGCTCTGCAGAAGGACAGAAGCAGCCCTCTCCATGCTGAGGTCCCATTCAGATCAAACCCTGAGGTCAGTGAGGAGCTCTGGGTGGGCACAGCGAGGGTCTGTCCGTCTGCCTTCCCTCCTGTTTCAGTTCAGCCTTTGGAAAGGCCGCTGGCACGGAGAGTTGGACAGGGTGAGTTTTCATGTGCATCACAGTGGAAAACGTAGAGGAGAAAGGTGATGAATGGTGTTTCAGAACTTCTTTCATTGTCAGTGTTGGGGGGCTGAAGGGACACAGGGCACAGCAACATGGGGACCTGCAGAACGGGGAACTCCAGGGCAGGAGCTTTCCTTAGCTCATCCAAGGCACAAATAAGTAGCTGATGGTACCACTGGGCTGTCCAGAACATGCAGTGTTTCATCCAAGCCAAGTCTGCCTGTGGAAGAGCTGGGAATGGTACCAGCGAACCCGAAGGGTTAGCAAACAGTACCACCACCACTGGTGCAGAGCAGTGTCTCATCGCGAGGGCTCTACTTTTCGCTAACAGAAATCCAGCCTATAATATGCAGACTGGAATGCTTTCAGTTAGCTCTTGTAGGGGAGTAGTAGCGAAGTTTTATAGGGCTTTTTTACTTGAAGCACATGAGCTTTAAGAGGCAGGCTTCTGGAGATGTGCTCTGCCTGAAGCCAACTCTAGGCTCGGAGCTGTGGGAGAGGGGCCTGTATGGATCCCCAGCGGAGATGGCTGTGGGTTTTCCATAAGTGTGGAAGCCCTGGGATGGAGGCGGTGGCGCGTTGGACAGCAGTGCTCCCTTTGCAGCTGATGGAAGCAGGGAGATGGAGCTCCCCATCCCTGGGCAGTTTGTGGTTGTTGGAGTTGCAGACATGTCTGCTTTGGGTGAATTCAGCCAACAGTGCTTCCTTGGGAGGACTGGGGAGCTACAGCAAGAAACGGGAAGAAGTTTCTAATAAGGTCATTCAGTGTTAAGGGAAATGCACTGGGAGGTCCCAGGAGGCAGATAACGTCAGGTTGATGGCAGTCAGCGCTGGAGGAGTTGTGGCTAGAAGCTGAGCGAACAGCCCAGCTGTGAAATCCTCACACTATTTAGGCCTTGACATGAATGGGGATTTAAAAAAAAAAAAAAGGGAGCATTCAGGTTGGGCTTTGAGGAGAGCAGCGAGGCTGAGCGTTGCCTCCCAAATGGAGAGCAGGGCGAGCTGGGAGCAAGTGGCCTTGTGCTGGCCTGTTCAGAAGGCTCTCAGAGGGGTTTTGTCATTGATCTAATGGCTCACATAGTTCCTGTTGCTTCCTTGCTTCCTGCTCTTCCCTCATAACGACTGTTTTTCACAGCACTGGCAAGAGACTGTGTTGTTTGCTGCATTCCCTGGCAGGAGCTGGAGCTGCAAGTGAGCATGCTTGTGGTTGGGTTGGAGGCGTCCTTAAAGATCGTAGAACCACAGAATGGTTGGGTTGGAAGGGATCTCAGAGCCCCCTCAGCCCCAATCCCTGCCGTGGGCTGGTTGTTCGCCGCTAGCTGAGGCTGCCCAGGACACCATCCAGCTTGGCCTTGGGCATCTGCAGAGATGGGGCATCCACAACTTCTCTGGTTAGCCTGCACCAGGGCCTCACCGGTCTCTGGGTAAAGAATTTCCTCCTAAATCTCTCTTCTTTTTGTTTAAAACTGTTCCTCCTTTGCTGCATTGACGTGAGACCCAGAGCACAGCCAGCCTGCAGGGGGCACGGGATCCAAGCAGCACGCTCGGTATCTGTTGCGTATTGTCTGGGAGCTGTTTGCTAAATCCCTGGTGCAGGAGCTATGTTCCAGTGCACGAGGCAGCTCACGGCTGGTCAGAATGAGCAAACAGTGCATTTTATTATGCATCTCCATACCCTTCACTACTAAAGAGAACTCAAAGCAGGACGCATCAGCTCATGAGCCAATCCTGAACCAACGCCAAGCATCGATATCCCGGCACTCCCACTTGCAGGAGATTGATATTGGGTGCTCAGAAATAGTGATGGCCCTCCCCAGGCCCTGGAAAATGTCCCATCTAGATAAATAGTTCAGCCTTCGTGCACTTGGCCTCTTCTGGAGGCTGTCCAGGCTGGACAGGAGGGACCTTGTTGCCTCCCAACAAGAAGGGAGGAACAAGATGCCTGATCTGGACGTAGTGTTCCAGGCGTTGCTTGGCTGCCTCTAGGTTTGTGTTCTGTTGCTGTCTGATCATTAAGCCTCATGCCTAAGGATTGCTTTGCACAAGGCTGGCACGCATCTCCAAGCCCCATGTGTGCACAGTGGCCCTACAGCCTCTATGGGAGCCAAAAGGCCCCAGCACTGGTGGCCCTGCAGCAGGGGCAGTGTCTCTGTGGTCACCCTGGGGTGCTCAGTGAAGGCTGGAAGCCTCTCCCTGCTGCCTTATTCCCAGACACGGGGCTTCTCCACTCCTGCTGTCCTCACCGCCACCCTCGGTCCAGGCAGGGAGATACAGGCATTATCTGGTGGCTCTGCCGTTCCCCAAACAAACAGGGCAATGTGCCCCCCTGGGCGGGCACCTTGGACCCCACCAAATGGCGACACTTGTGTGGGTGCTGCTGTTTCTGCCATCTTAGTGCATGAATGGACAAGCAGGGCATTGACGGCAGCGCGGACGCGCACAAACGCTCCACTGTGTCCCCTCTCACACCTTCCCCCCCTCCTCCTCGGCCCCGATGCCCAAAAGACAATGGCTCTATCCAAGCCGATGTTCACAGCTGGCAAGGACGGAGGAGAGGCCGAGACCAGGGTGGGCAGCCCCAGGGCTCTGGGGGAGCAGTGGCTTGGGAAGGAAGGGACGAGGGCAGACAGGAGCTGGGGACACGTGGGTTGGGCTGGGAGAGGGAGAGAGGAGAAAGTGGACAGGCCAGAAGGAGAAAAGGGGGCTCGGTAGGAGGGTGGAGGTGTGGGGATTCTGCTGACTTTTGGTGTTGGGCTGGAGGATGGCAATGGTTCGGTGGCAGTGTGTCGTGCATGGCACTGGCATGGTGTTTTGCTGTTGGTTGAGCCCGGTTGTTGCTCCAGGGACCTTCTGGCCACTGGGAACCCTGCAGCTCATCCTCCAGTACCAGGATCTGGTGTCTTGGTTAAACCCCACCTCTTCTGTACGGGAAGAGCTGCTCTATGGCTTCTATAGGGTAGGTGATGTCCTTGAAAATGAGATGGCCGTAACTCTGCGTTGATTGCAGCAGTCCTGCCTTCATGGTGGTGAGGGGCATGTGGGGCACGTGCTGTGTGTGTGAGCAGAAAGGTGTCTTAATGCACCTGAAACCACCTGGTGAGAGCATGCAGGGGGGAGTAACCCCATGTATGTTAGCTATATAGAGTTATAGAGCTGCTGGGTTGGCACCGTTGGTTTCTCCCTTTCGCAACCCATGCAGACCCCAGCAGGCTGTCCTGGGAGGCTGAAGAGGATCAAAAGAGGGGATAACCCCACAGCTCCAGGAGGGGCTCCTCTGTGCCTCAGGGCTTTGCTCTGGGGTGGTCCCAGAAGTGCTCCAGGGGAGATGGGGGAGAGGTCTGTCTTGGCGTCCCACTCAGGTTACAAGAGCCACTTCTGCCAGGAGGGACTGGTTATTGTTACAGTCAGGTAATAAAGAGCATTAATTGAGGAGGAATGCTGGGCTGGGATGTGAGGGGAGGCGAGGGCTGCGGGGTTGCATTCCCCCCTGCCAGAGGAGATGTGTTCCTCCTTTGCACCCACAGAGTTGGGACTGTGGAGCAAAGGACAGTTCGTCCTGCTGTGCCTTAAGCATCCTGCTGTCCCCAGGGCTCTGAGCAGTGATAGGAGTGTTCTCTCACCCTCACTGCATCCCATCCCGAGGCATAGGAGGCTGCTGTTCCCAGCTGGGGAGAAGTGATCCCAAACCTGCAGCTCCTGAGCTTAGATGGTGTTTGGTTAGCATGCTGTGGCCCAGATTCCTTGTGCTCGCAGCCCAGCCAGCAGCCAATCCTCTGGGGCAGAAGAATAAACACAGGAGGAAGCTGAAAGGGATGTGGAGCCCGTGGGGCCCTGGGAATGTGCCAGTGTGGCAATGGGCTGCCAGCTGTGCAACCTGTGGGTGCCATCTCACTGCATGGCTCCTGGAGACTTCCACCACATCCTCCCTGCTTGGCGGTGGCTTTGTCAGCAGCGTGCTGAGGAGGAACAGTCAGGCTTCCAGCACCATCACAGGTTTCTTGCCCAGAGCACTCGGACTGGGGAGCAGGTAGGGCCAAGATGGCAGAGGGATGCCACCATCCATGCTACCATGAGGCAGGTACTCGCTGTGGTTCTTTATTCATCTCCAGTCCTGCTTTTGGAGCAGAATGCTTCATTTCTCATTCAAACCAGCACCCCCTAAAATGGTTCTCTGAAACCAAGCACAAAAATTCAGTCTCTGATGCGTAGGCATGGGGACGCACCATGCATCCGTGCGTGGCTAGGCACAACCTCGTCTCTTCTTCCCCCTCACTGGTGTTCCCCAGCCTGGGGAGATGTTGACCTCATCATCTCCAGGTTCCCACATCTGGTTCTTGTTAGTGGATCCCAGAATGAAGTTCCTCCTCTCTCTCCCTTCCCTCCACCCCCAGGAGACCCAGGCAGGATTATAGGTGATTAGAAGACAGGCAACAGAGCAAGAATTGGGGGGGAGGGACTGTTATAAATAGAAATACCATAAACTTATCAGCCTATCACTCGAGGTAAATTCTGGGTTTAATCTCTTAGACCTGTAAATATGATGACTTGCAGGGGCCAGATGCCTTTAACTCTTTCAGTGCCCATCTCTGATGGGAAATGGGCTGCGATGGAGCACCTGGAAAGGGGACAGGGATTGATATCACCAGGAGAGCTGTGCCAGCAGCCCCGTGCCGTCGGAGCAAGGCAGCAAGTAGCTCTGCTTGGATGGCGGTCGTGTTTGGAGGTTTGGGGAAGGCAGAGAAAACAAGTCCAAACATTGGGATTCCTGACATTCTCGCACATATGGGGCCTCTGCCCTGCTCGTGAGGAGGGTGCTGTGGGTTTAGCATCTGCTTATTGTGGCAGAGTTTGCCTTCAGGGCCTCCTTGGTGCTGTTGTGAGGAGGGGGCTAAGGGTAAGGCAGGGCAAAGGGTGCTGGCAGGTTTGGGAGCTCCTTTGCGGCAGCACTGGCTGAAGGAGGGGTGAAATGGAAGGTTGTTTGACCCAAGGAGCCCCTCCAGGGAGGTCAGCGTGCTGCCTGGGGCTGAGGGGACGTCAGAGAGGGGAGGCAGGTGACGAAAGCTCTAGTGCCATGTGGGTGTTGAGCTACTTCCTGCTCCCTCCTAATCCCACCTCGGAAGAGGAGGGACTGTTACTAGTGTCGTTAGGAGCTCGTGACTCAGTGGAGAAGCATTAGCTTTTAATTAATCACCTAAGCTGGCTTTCAATAAGAGCCCGGCATGCAGGGGAGCCATGGTGGGACGTTCCCTGTCCCTGAGTCCTCAAGCTGAGGACAGCCCTACATTTTCAGTGGGCAGCCCTTCCCGTTGCACGTGTGCAGCTGGACCCAGCCTTGCCATTACTGAGGCAGCACAGCTGACGCAGCTCCTGCATCACATTTCTTATCACACCCCATGCCTAAGTCTCTGCTGAGCACTTCCAAAGGTGACTTTTAAGAGAAGGCAGCAGAAAAAAAAGGAGAGCCCAGCAGTGCTGCTGTCTCTGGAGGGCTTCCTGTCCTTTCTGGGTAGGTCCTGGGCTCCCCTTTCCACTGTGGAGAAGCTGCTGGGGTTTGGAGATGGAAGGGAAACCTGTTGGGGTCAGGTATCTTGAGGCTTTTTCCTGGACAGGCTCAATAGCTTGGGGAAAGGCAACAAAATTGGTCAAGTGCCTTTTTGGTTTCTTGGAATCGTAGAATCGTTAAGATTGGGAAAAGTTCAAAGTCCAACTTCGACCTACCTCACCATGCCCATTAACAAGCCTACCTCACCATGCCCACTGACCACGTCCCTCAGTGCCACGTTCATGGAACACCTCTGGAGACGGTGACTCCACCACCCCCTGGGCATCCTGTGCCAACGCACTATCACTCTTTTGAAAACATAGGTCCCCAGCCCAGAACTTGGGATGAAGACATGTCTTCCAATAGCTTTTGTGGCCAGTGGTTGCCAGATGTTTTGTAGCTCGGTTTTGTTGGCAGATGGTGAGGTGATGGAGAGAGTGCAGAAGAGGTGCCTTGGTAGTGAGGGGCTGGGAGCAGGGTGAAGGATCATTGCGGGGGACGCAGCACCCACGCTGAGCTCTCCCAGCCAACCATAGCTTGCAGCAGGACAGCGGTGTGCTTGCAGCCACAGAATTTACAGGGGACAGTGTCACCTCCTGCTGCCCGCAGTGCCCCAAGGGCTGGATGTCCTCCCGCGAGCAGATCCCCGGGATCATTCCCCCTCATTACCAAGGGAGAGATTCCCCTGTCCATGCACAAACCCTGTCCGCTTGGCAGAATTCCTGGCTGGATTTATTTCTGCCAATTTGCCCGTCTTTACAATGAAAGGGATTTGCGGAGGAGAGTGCTGCAATTGGCCGGTGTGGGCCAGAACCCAGGTGGGGTTTTTCGCGGTTCGTCGGTTGACCTTCCCCCAGCACACAGCCTGTGGGGGGCGAGGGCTGGCCCTCAAGCTTTGGGCCTCTTGGGAAGGGCCCTCTTCCTTATCGGGGCCAAGTCTCCTCTTCCACTTTCTTGGCAGTGTCTTTGGCACCGAGGGCTGGCAGCAGCCCCTGAGAGCTGCGGACTCCCACTTGAGAGAGACAGATAAAGAAAGCACTTTCTGTCAACAAAACCCAGCCCAGCTTCCCCAGGGCAGGAGAGGGGAGGAGGAGGCCTCAGGAGAAGGCAGAGGGAAACCCGCTGCTCGCCTGGCCTCCGCGCTGTCTGATTTTGCTCTGGGATGCAGATGGCTATGGACCAACGGTCCTCAAACTGCTGGACCTGCTGATCTTCTCATCTTGGTTTTGGCTCTGCTAAGGTCTAAGGCGTTTCTGCTCTGCAGCGCCTTTGCTTTTCATGTCCTTCTCACAGCTCTTGCTTCCGTCTCCTCTGTCCTCGCAGGCCATGACATTAATGGAGCTCTGGAGCCATCTAACATCGACACCAGCATCCTGGAGGAGTACATCAGCAAGGAGGACTCACCAGATATGTAAGTGGTTCCCTTGCTCCTCAGCAGGAGCTGTACTTGCTGTTGTTTTCTGTGGAGAAGCTCTGCAATGCGAGGAATCTTCAAATCACTGTGCCCTGTATGTTCCACTGTCCCTGCTAGAGTCCTCCCCTATAGGAGGTTGGTTTCCTGGGCACTTCTGGCCTTTACATCCCTGCAGGTGGATTTTTCACCCTTTGGGGTTGCATCATTCCCACTGATCCAAGTGACCAACCTATGCACTCCTGCTGGTGCCACCACAATGCTGGCTGTTTCACTCCTCCTCTGGGTGTCCCAGAGCACCGTCCGTGTTGCTCAAGGGCTGGGTAGCGGGTGGAAAGTGCCACCTACCTGTCTCGCAGCTGAGGTTATCACCTTCTCTCTCTCAGCTGTTTCCCTGACATCTCTGCTTCATCTGGCTGTGCACACCCCCAGCCCTCCAGCTCAGCCACCATCAGCGCGCCTCTTCCCAGTTCCGTCGGCAGTGCTGGGCATGTGAACAACCCTGCTTCCAGTGGTTCCCTCCACCTTCCTCCCCCGGGCAGCCAGATCCCGATCCATCACGGTCCTCTCCTGGCCAACCCTTGCGGACCCAGCTATGGTGCTCACCTCAACTGCAATAACAACAATGGCATGGCGGTGCCCAAGGGCTACCTCGGTGGCCACTGCCTAAACAGCATGGTCCCTCCAATCAAATCGGAGCCCAAGGCCTCCTACGCACCTGGGTAAGTGGGGTTGGGGTGGCAGGACAAGGGCACAAGGTGAGGCCAGCAATCCTCCAGGCTGGTGGGGCCTGGAGGGTAGAGGTGGCTTGTCCCATAGTGCCTTAACCGCCAGCCGTGTCAGCCACTGTTAAGCCCTGGCTTCACAGGGAGATGCTTTGTCATGAGTTTTCTGAAAAGTTGTTCAGTTTTGGTCTTGCCTGTGTGTGCTGAATTGGAGAGGATCAGTGACATCCCATGCATATACAGGGAGACAGATGACAGATGCACATCTCCACGTGTGTGGCAGGACGGAGTATCGTCCTTCTCAAGAAGGAAGAGATGCAGAATAAGTCTGAATAAGACCAAACTTAGTTTCCAGGATGTCCCCTTGGCAATCCCAGGGGAAGATGTTAGCTAAGTTGGGCAAAAAAACGCATTTCTCTTGGCCTGATGTTTTAGATACTGAAGAGAAGAAAGATATGGTGTCTGAGCCAAAGTTATTCCCCGTCATAACTGGCTCTGGATGCAGCCCCAGTGAAGGGGAAGATGATAATCGAGTCTTAGCATTGCTGAAGGACTCAACTGGACAACTGGGAGGAGAAATGATGAGGGAAACGGCGCTGGTGGGCTGGGAGGGCACAGCAACGTGGCAGCCTTGACAGGGAGCACCACACAGAGAGCGCAGCCGGGCTGTGGGCCTTCTCCAGCAGATGATGGATGTAAGGGACGTGGAGACCAGGAGGACCCCAGAACTGCTGCTCATCTCAACGAAGCCCTCTCTGGCTTTTCTTCCTCTGCTTTCTGCCCTCTAGTGTCGCCAGCAAGTACGGCGTGGTGCTTCCCGTGCTCAGTCCACCAGCTTGCAGGAGGAATAATTGGATCTGTAATGTAGCTCCACTGGGATGACTTCGGCTTGGATGAACTGGAAAAGATCGTCCTGAGTGTGACAACCTAAATAAAATCTGCCCTTATTTCATTCCCAGATTAGGGAGTTGCAGTGGAGACATGAGTCCTAGGGGAAGCCATGCCAAAAGCGGGGTGGGATGCTCTTCTGTGGCATCCCTTTCTTCTGTGTGCCTCTGGCGTTCTCCAGGATGTGAGAAGTCATGGGTAGGATCATAGCTCTCCTCCATTCATAGTCCAGGTCTGATTACCTGTCTGCTGGCTTCATCGTCTTGACTTGCAGGAGAACAACAAATCCATCAAGGAGGCATCAGGAACTGCTGTAGCTGAGGGGAGAGCTCATGTCATCATTTGGGGCTGTCATGGCGGTGATCAAAGCATTTGCCTGGGAATATGTGCTGCTTTGTCTGTGGTGGATCCTTGGCCTGGGATGTGGCTTCATGGCTGGACTCCACTGGGTGGTCGCTGCGTACAGTGGAAGCAGGGTTCGTAGCAAGTGCTGGCTGCTGGAGATGGAGGCCTTGTTTGGGTGAAATGAACGAGGTTAGCTTTGCTCACAGCATTTCTTCAGCATCCCAGAAGGACTCATTCCGTGGCAGAAGCAGTCTCAGTGTCGAACGCCCACAAACCCTATCCATGGGCTGGGCATGCCTGCATGACCTCCCTGCATAGCACCCATCTTTCTGCTTCAGTTGTCCCTGAATTGTCTCTGGTCGATTTGTTATAGCAGGAGCAGGCTTTGCAGAGTGCTGTGCTGCTGGAACATGGTAGGGATTGCCAAGGCAGTGGATACAAGCAGGCAGACAAGATACCTCCCTGGATACCCCACTGCTGGTGATTTGCACATGGGTAGAGCACACTGCAAGTGCTTTCTCTAGAGCCACAATCTTCCTGCCCACCCCTGCTGCAGCTTTGGCTTGCGGTGACCCCTCCTCAGTCTAGCTGGCAGCAGAGCCTCGATCCTTTCCATGCATGTAATCTCCTGCAAAATATTACTAGAGAAGAACCAGAATCTGACATGAGCAAATCGTTCTCTTGTGTACCAGGACAGTGGAAGATTTACCCTGGCCTGAAGATATGTCTGGTGAGGAGGGGCTGGGAGAAAGAGAAGGAAGTGTTGGTTCCAGTTGATTTCCAAGGAGGGGCTTTGGGAATGGCTGAAGAGCCCAGTAAGGAAGGAAGCAAAGGTGGCACTCTCTCTGTGGTTGCTATCCCGTAGCCTGGTTGTGCAGCTGAGTGCCCAATTCAGTTGCATTTTGCAGTTAGGACCGAATCTTGCCCCTGGTGCCATTGGAGCAGAGGTAGAGTGATACAGCTGGCAGCTGTGGTGGTGCTCAGGTTTGTACAGGTCGCACGGCAGGGTGCAGCCCATGGGCTTCCCAAGTTGTGCTTTCAGCTTCCCTAGAATGCCCCATTTCTCCATGGTGAAGCACAAGGTCTTGGGGGAACGAATGTCTTTCTGTTCGACTCAAAGCTGCTGAGCCGGTGGGGAAGCCTCATAGGCAGGTCAGCAAAATACCTCTCCGTGCTGCCAAAGTGTGGGCTGCAGGGAATGGTGAGAGCAATGCAGTCGCCATATGGTCACTGGAGGTACTCAGGTTGATGGGCATCTTGTGGGACCACGCATTGCTCCAACTAGACCAGTTGATCCCATTGCTGGAAGCTGCTTTACAATGACCTTCCCTTCTGTTTTCTCTGCAGCACTTTACCCGACTCTCCCCCTGACTCTGGATCAGAAGCCTACTCACCTCAGCAGGTGACTGGTAAGTGCTTTAAGGAGAGAGAGGGAGGGGGGAATAATATATGTAATAAGGAAAACCCCAGGCCCAACATCCTCCCCCTCTTTGTTCCATGAAAGTGGTTGGCTCTGCAGTCTTTATCAGACGGGAGAAAACAGGCGGCTGCAATACGTGGGGAGATTATCAGTTAGTAAATATCCCTGGACTGTCGCCTATTGTTCTCCTGCTGGTCTTTGCAAGGGGGGAGAGTGAGCAAGAGAGGGAACGGGAGGGAAGGAGAGATGTGAACCCACTCACACGGGGAGCGATCGGCAGCATGGCTCGTCCCTGGGAGGGTGGGATGTGGCAGCCGGAGCCTCCCTGTGCTGCCCTGTGCCCAGAGTGAGCCAAAGGCAAGGAGAACGTCCCTGAAATGGAACCCGGTTCGGGGAGACCAAGATGAGCCTTCCATTCAGCAGTAAGTTCCTTCCATGCCCACCCCCCCCCACCCCCCCCCCCGCCTTCTGACCTGGGGCTCCCCCTGCCAAGGGTGAGAGAGCCTGTCCCACCCACGGCCACTGCCAGCCCCCCGGCTCCCTGCTGGGGAGCCACCTCGTGTTGTGCTGACCTTCGCTGTGCTTTGCTGGAGAAACTCCTTGGTGAGGAGGGAAGGTTGTCCTGGGCTCCCTTCCCCCTCGCCAGCAGCACCCTCTTTCCCAAGCTCCAACCATTCCTCACCAGGAACAGCACTTACTCTTTTTTTTTTTTGATGGAAGAGGTCAAGAGTTCTGTTTATCTTGCTAAAAAAAAATCCCTGGAATTCCTCCTGCCCCTTCCTTAAATATAACAAAGAGGCCGAGTTGCTCACCGAGGGGAGAGCTGCTCCAGTGCGCTTCCAGCACTCTGCTTAGGGAGGAGAGGAGGCAGCAGGGAGCTCTTCAGGGCCCTACATGCAGCACATGCACTGGAGATGTTGAGAAAACCCATTCCTCTCAGTGCTCTGCAGGGCAAGGCACGAGGGCTGCTCTGCAAGCCCTGAAGCAGCCCTGAGTCTGTCTGTGCTTGTTGTCCAAGGATGGTTGGGAAGCTTGCCTTCAGATCCTCATTTGATCACTACGTTTATTCATTTAGACTGTAGAACGGTGTGATTTTGCCAGAGAAACGTGTCCCAGGTGGAAAGTTTCTCCTCTTCCCACTGTTTGTTTTGGGATGCAGAGAGGATGGAGAAGCTGGTGTAGAAGATCAGTGCAGTTCACCAGACTCCAATCTTTGCTTTCCACTCACACAGCATATGGCACATGCCCATTCGTTTCTACAACACATAAAAATAAGCTGCTGAAATGGTGCCAACATTGACTCATCCTTGAGGTCCCTTCCAACCAAAGCCATTCTATGATTCTGTGATTTTCTGCTCCATCTGAGAGGAACTTGCTCGAGTCTTGCCTTGCATCAACTTTTGTACCAATGTCTTTGGTTTCTAGAGTAAATATATGAGTCCAGATTCCAGGAGTGTTTTGGTTTGAGCTGAAGCCCTCTGCTATGCACTGGCATTGCCACACATTGAGCTGGTGTTGAGCTGGAGCCTAGGCAGCTGCAGAGAATTTGCATGCCTCTCCACCAGCATTTATTTTGATGGCAGTGTAGTCAAATCAATCCCAAGCATGGCATTTCTTTAGTATCCCATTCCACAGAGAGGAGGAGGAAGGTGGGATCATTTGAATGCTTGTTTTTGTTTATTTAAATGTGGAGGTCACAGTCACCTTAAAGGCTCTGTTTCCAGGCACAGGCTTTGGACAGGCCCCTCTGTCGGACCTGTCATCCCACCGCTCTTTCTTGATCCATGTCGTTCCTCGGTGATGCAGGCATGTTCATCAAATCACCAGGGTTGGAAGAGATTGGAAGAGACCTCTTAAGGCCATCAAGTCCAACTCTCAACCCATCCCCACTGTGCCCACTGACCCTCAGTGCCACATCTCCATGGTTCTTGAATGCCTCTGGGGACAGTGACTCTCCCACCCCCTGGGCAGACTGTGCCAGTGCAACGCCGCTCTTTGCAAAGACATTTTTCCTAATATCCAGCCTGACCCTCCTCTGGCACAGCTTGAGGCCGTCACCTCTCATCCTAACTTTCTGCCTGATGCTTCTTCCCTTTGAAGGGAATTGCAGAGCTGATACCAGACAGAATTCCTTAAAGTCAGGTTTTCACTACGGAACATTAAGGTACCTGCGCTTTAGGAAATTCCAGGAGTGGTTGTAATCTTCCCTGTTTTCCCTCAGCCTGAGAACCTGTGTGCCCTTTGAGTTAGTGAAGCTCAGTTCTGATGGCAGAGGAGCGCTCACAGGGAATTCCTCATGGCTGGGCTTGGAGCTGAAGCTTAGACCTCACGGTGGTCTCACAGGCGTTCCTCTTTCTCTGCTCTTCAAGATCCTCACCTCCTTCGGACCATGACCCCAGAGAACATGTGCCATGTAATTCCCCCATCTCGCCTGGAGCATCCTCCGCCGCCACCACCTCCTCCTCCTCCTCCCCCCCACCTGCAAGCTGTGCCCCCTCCTTCCCACCCGCACTACCCTGGCCTGCAGCGGGACCTGTACATGAAGGCTGAGCCCCTGATGCCACCCTATGGCATGGGGCAGGGCATAGCACCAGCTGACCTCCACCACGCTCAGCAGTCACAGATGCTGCACCAGCTTCTCCAGCAGCACGGAGCAGAGTAAGGCTGCTGGACATTGGGATTTGGCGTGATTTGGGTTTGGGGGGATTCTGGGGAGGTGTTGAGGTGGGAGTCACCCAGGGGGGACACTCAAAGCTGGATGGTGGGGACAGAGGGGAAACTGAGATGTGGCTCAGTGCACGCCTGGCACAGAACTCACCGTGGGTAGGTGAGGCAGAAGGTGGTGATGTTGCAGGGTTGTCACCTCCCCGTTATCCCACAGCCTCCCGGTGCACCCTGCCAAGAAAAGGAAGCATTCCGAGTCACCCCCAAACACCCTTAGTGCACAGATGCTCAACGGGCTGATAAAGCAGGAGCCAGGCATGGGGTCTGTGCCACTCAACCCCGAAAGAGTTCCCACGCCTCCTTGGCACCAGCCAGGACCTCTGTCTCCAGGTATGTGGTTTTCAGCCCCTCATCCCTTTAATCCCTCCCCAGCATGCAAACCTGGCAGTGCTGGGGGTGAGTGTGTGAGTTCCCAGGAGCAGGTCAGGCTCCAGACCTTGTGCCGCTGCCATGCCCTGGCAGTCAGGAGACGACTTGCTTCCTTATGCTTGTATCCAACTGAATGCTGCATCACAGAATTTTCCAATCATAGTATGAAGGGACCTCAAAGGTCGTCTAGTTCCAATCTCCTGCCGTGGATGGGGTTGCCATCCACTAGGTTGGACTTGGCAGGGCCTCTCTGGGGTGTCTGAAACATGTCTTTCTCCCTCTGCAGGCCTGATTCAGGATAATGACAGCTTGAATGGCTCCTACCTAGACCCCAACTACCAGTCTATAAAGTGGCAGCCACATCAGCAAAACAAGTGGGCAACTCTCTATGATGCCAACTATAAAGAACTGTGAGTAATTCATTCAGAATCACATCCAACCTTTCATTCAATGGACTTTCCATTCAAGTGCTGAGGTTCGGGAGATTCAATGTGTTGGACCTGCCTTGCCTTTTAACACCTGCTGACCTCTTCTTGCCTGCTCTGTGGTGGAGACACTCTCCCTGCTGCACCTTTGCCATTGGGAAGGTCTTTGGGAAGGTTTCTCTGCATTTCTGAGTGAACAGTGGGGGATTAAGGAATGGGTCTGGTTCTGCAGGATTCAACAGTTCAGTAGCATTGGAGGCAGCCACTCAGACCTTGAGCTGCCACTGGGGGATTCTTGTGGCAATTACACCTTGTGCCTGAGCACCGTGTGGATGTGCAGCACACTTTCCCCCTGGCCAGGCTCCAGGGGGTTTTAAAGCTCCAGGGTTTTAAAAGCTCCAGGGTTTTAAAAGGTGTGTTAGGATTTCCAGGACAATGCATAGCAGGAATGACTGGGGATAATCCAGAGCCACTTCAGCACACGTTGAGAGCAGTGCAGAGAGGAGCCTGAGGAGGAGGAGTGGTTGATGGGTGGAGGAGAGGAGAGAAAGAAAGAGGGAAAGGTTGGAGGGTAGCTGGAAAACTAGGAGGGGTGGAGAGACCAGGAGTGCAGGCAGAGAGGAAAGCTGGGGTAGAGGGTGGAGGCAGAGTGTGAACAAGCCTTGTAGGAAACAGTGCTCAGGAGGAACCCACTCTGGATCCTCCCTACATTCCTCAGAGGTGACTGAGAGCAGGCAGGCAGCAGGCAGGCTTCCAGGAACTAAGCAGACTGCCCTGTTTCCCTTCCTTCTCTTTCTGGACAGCCAGAGGCTGGTAGGGTCCTCCTGGGGGACATGAAGGATGGAGTGCTCTGCTTGCGATGCCAAATAACCCAGGGCTGTCATCATAGCTTGCCCAGGTGGTGCTTAAGGTAGGACAAGGACATGTGGCTTGAGAGCTCTGCAGAGACGTGACTGATGGTTACTTCTTTGGTGACACCCTGCCATTTGCAAAGGCCGTATTTGTGGCTGTTTTCCTAGCCACAGCAGGAGAGGCTTAAGTTTGGGAGGTGTTTGCTTCTGTTTTACCAAACTGTTTCCATAGTCCTCTGCAGACCTCTGCTTCAACTTTGTTTCCTCTGCGGTGTGAATCTTTTCTTCAGTGTGTCGTGGCCTGGCAGCTTCCCAATGTGCTCCCTTTGCCAAACTGTTTTCTCATCTTTAGTGCTTGGTTTTCAGCCAGGGCCTGGACATCACTGGGCAGCTACAGCACTGAGCTTTTCCCACCTGATAAAGCCACCTTCCTGGTCCCAAGAGTGGCCTCTCATCTGCTATCAGTGCCAGCAGGAGTTTCCCTTTGTGACGGAAGCACAAACACACCTTTTGTAGTCAGCAGGGTCCAATAAGCTCTGTACGTGACCTCAGTTTTCTCTTTGACACAATGAGCCCTCCTTTGCCTTCCATCTCTCTGTTTACCCATGCTGGTAAACATGTTTCAGGTGTTTCTCACCTGAAACACGTCACAGCTCCTGTGAAGAGGTTTGTTGCACGCCCTGATATTGCACAGGCACACTAACACTGCACTGCAGTCATTGGAGTGCTGCAGAGTGCAGCTTTCAACTTCTGTAAACCCAACCCTGTCCTACCACCTTCCTCAGCTCTGTGCTCGGGGTCACTTGCTAATTCCTGCTTTTAGGATTTAGGGTGGAAGCCAGAGCAAACCTACTTGTGCTGCATTTAGGTCGTGGCCCAGTTGCGTAATGGCTAAATTCCTTTGAAATGGCTTTACTCAATTTTAGGAACCCCCGTGTGGTTTGCTGTGGTGCTGGATTCGATCCAAAAGAAGAAATGAAGGATTGATAAGCTGCATTTTCTGCAGCACGTAAGCTCAGGGGTCTCTTCCCTCTTTGTGGCAGCTCAGCAGTCAGGTAGCTCCAGGAGGGGTTGTGCAAGCTGAGACCACGTCTCTTTCTAAGTAGGAGATCGTTTAAATGGGTGTCTTGGTGCAGCACTGCAGCAGAATAGAGCTGGGAGGAACTGCACAAGCTCAACTTTCTCAACTTTCTCTTCTTCTACAAGGGCTTTTTTTCCTTCTTTTTTTTTTTTTTTTTTTTTGGACAACCAACTTATGTTTCAGCAGGCAGGAGTCTCTTTCTTCCTTTTTGGTGCACTCAACAAATGAGTGTCTCTTTGAGATCTGTGAGTACTTCCACGTTAGTTTCCTCTGGGATCGTTAAGCAAGAACCAGCCCTTCCCAGCCTGTTTTTAGCTGTCATGCACTTTATATGTGCTGTTATGGTTTCCTGCCCCTAGGGGAAGCATATTTTCTTTCCTGTGATCCACGTGCCCACAACCTATTCACAACCCCAGGAATCTGAATCATCTGAATCACCTGATTTTTTCCTGCCCTTGCTCTCCAGACAAGGCCAGAAAGGCATGTTAAGGAGAGAGGCTGAACCACCAGCCCATAGGAAACCGTTGAGTTTCTTATCCCAGTGTGGTTTCAAGAGCTCGCCAGCGTTTCAGCAGTGACTGCTGCACCCAACAAGCAGCTGTGTGCCCTGTACAGGAGGCTGAGTTCTCAAAAGCTGTAGGCCCACCTGGGTATATGGTGAAAAACCTGCATCCAGAAACACAGCCTGTGTTTCTCCATGGAGCAAGACAAGTGCTGGCAGCCCCCATAGAGGCAGATTTCTCAGGTTCGTAGTGCTTGATCTTCCTCCGGTTCTGCCTCAGAGACGTGAGGAGGCCTTTTCTTCCATCATTTCCTACTCGTGCTGCTCTTGGTGAAGGCACTGGTAACCAGTACCAAAAGATTTTTTCTTCCTCAGGTGTATCCTTCCATGCCCGTCAGCCATTTCTCATGTACTGCTGATCTCGGCTGTGTCTCAGAGCCAGGCTCCTTCCCAGCTGTTGAGCTGGGCTTAGCACAAGGACAACCTGAGCAAATTCTGCGGTTCCTGGGTAGCTTTTCTGCCTTCTGAGAGACGTGCCTGGTGCCAGTGAACCTTGTCATAGGATGGTAACAGATTCCTTGTGCCCAGGGGCTGTAACCAGGAGAAGAGCGAAGGGAGCTGAGCTCTCCAGGCCTGCAGGTATGGTTGTGGGACTGTAGGCTGTAGTTTCCTTAGAAGCAGTTTGAGTTAAGGAAGTTGAGGAGAGGACAGAGGGAGGAAAGAAGGGCTCCTTTATGGATTGGAGTGGAGGTGCCTGGAAATCTGTGCCTTAGCATGCTTGGTTTATGTCAGGCTTTGGTTACGTGGGCAGAGGAATCTGTGTTGCTTGAAGGAGACCTAAGTCTCCAGATTAGTTTTATTGATAGTATGTTTCTCCTTGGCCTTTTGCACTGATTTTGTGGTTTCAGACTTGCTGAACCTTCAAAAGGGTTAGGTGGTTTCCAGCAGCGGTGCCAAAGAGGCCTGGAACCAGGCAGCTCACTAATTTACTCTCAGGAGCAGAAGTAATCCATCTCCCTGACAGTGCACTCTGATAAATACCAGCAGGCTCCCTCCTCTCTCTCCCCAAGTATTTACAGTTTGAGGTAAGGCAGTTTGAGGGGAAGGCTAGCACTGCAGTCTCTTCCCATCAAGCAAGCTTTTGGAAGCCTGGTTTGGAATAAGCGACCCTACAGCCAGCACCAAAAGCTGCAGAGCGCACAGGGGACAGAGAGCAGCCTGATGTGGTCCAGTCCTGAATGTATTTCAGGTGTTGGTGAACATGGGCTGAGATGGTGCTGGAAGCCTGGAAGGAGAACAAAGCATGAAATTACTGAGCAGACCCTCAGCTATGGGGCATTCCAGACATGATGGCTTAGGAATGGTTGAAACAATGGGGAATCTGGAATAGGAAAGAGGTGGAGGAGAATTTCCTTGCATAAAGAAAGCTGATGGCATAAGAACTTCCCTCTGACAATCCTGTTTTCTGCAACAGATCTGAATGCTGATCCCCTCATTATCAGAGACATTTTTCCTTGCATTGTCTTCCCTTAGAGGACGAGAGCACTCCCCACTCCCGTAAGTGTGGGTCCCAGCATGAGGAGTTGGTAACTCCTGAAACCTCCTCTCCTCTGATCCTGGCCTTCTGAGCCCTGCGTTAATCTGCTTTTGTCAGCGGGGCGTTCTGCCCAAAATAATCCATTTGACCCTCGACCTTTTCTTCCTGATGTTTTGCCCTCTGGCCCTCACACTCATTGGGAGCTAGCCTTGCTCTCGCTGCCCCCAAACCATTGGCTGCTGTTGTTCCTGACCCTAGGAGCTACTCCTGCCTTCCCCAGCCTCCGAGCACAGGGATGGGGTGGCAGAGACACCCAGGTCCCCATGCTGGCTGCGTTCCCCGTGGGTTAAGATGAAAGCTAGGATGTGTGGCAGTGGAGATGCCCTCCCGTGCACCCCATGTTGGGGGGTGACACTGATCACAGCCTGAGTCCTTTGGGAGCTCAGGGAATGAGACTCAGCCTGACAGTCTTCCTCTGTTTTGGCATATGCTTAGCAGCCATCAGTTTGAGTGAGGTTAAACCAGAGCATGGTTTTGAAGCAGATGTGGTTTGGAAGTACAACCTGCCTTCAAGTGGAAACAGCTGAGGTGGCAGAGGGGTGAAAGCAAATGGGAAAAGGGTTCCTCCATCCCTGGGTGAGCACAGAGGATCCTAGGGCCTGATAAAGCTCTGGCTCCTGAGACCAGACCTTATGGCTAAGGCTGGGAGGTAAGCAGCAGTAGAATGGAATTCCTTTCGTGCTTCTGGACTAAGATAGTGCTCTGCTTCCACCATCTGGCCTGTGTTCAGAGTCTGCATAGTCCCTCGGGTGCAGGAGATGAGGAGTTGCATCCCAGTGTTACTGGGAATGGGCCCCCGATCTCCTCCAACATTAACCCTCCTGTAGAAAAGTGCTCAGTGAGTTTTAAGACTGATATCGGAGGCCAGACTGAGCCGCCTTTTGCCTTCTGAGTGTTTAAGCACAAAAATAAAGGGGAAAATGTGGGATTTTGGTCTTCTGCTGGAGATTCTCGAGGGGCTGAGATGCATCCCAGGGCCCACCCGCCTGGTCTGAGTTCTTCAGCGGTGAGAGAAAAAGGGACTTGCTTAAAGGCCACATATTTCCCTCATTCCCGTGGCAACCAGCCCATTAAGGAGATGGAGATTAAACCAACCCAGCTGGTGTGTGTTGGCCGGGCAGCAGCATCCTCCTCCTCCCACTCAGACCTTGCTGATTCCACAGGAACTAGGCGTGTGGGCAACATCAAGAATGTGGTGGGTAAAACCAATGGGCCTGTGGGATCCCTGGCCTCGGTGTTGCCACGTGCCGTGCCCCACAGGCCCTGCGCTGCCTCTGTAGCTGGGAGCTTAGCCTCTCTTGATGTGCTCGGGGCTCTGGCCTAATGTCTGCTGCCTTTTCCACAGCCCCATGCTCACCTACCGCGTGGATGCTGACAAAGGGTTCAACTTCTCTGTGGGCGACGATGCCTTTGTGTGCCAGAAGAAGAATCACTTCCAGGTCACGGTCTACATCGGCATGCTTGGAGATCCCAAGTATGTGAAGACCCCCGAGGGCCTGAAACCCTTAGAGTGCTTCTACCTGAAGCTGCACGGAGTGAAGGCAAGCAGGAGCCAAGCGAATGCAGCAGGGAGAAGGGGAGCTGAGATCAGGCAACCACATCTTTCATATGCTGAGTTGTAGGGGTGTGTGCAGGAGAATGCTGAAGGTGATCCTTGATCTTCAGCTCTTGAGATAGGACTCTAATTTGGATTCAGTTGCTCCCTGGGCATCCCAGGGTTTCCTCTTGCTTCTAGAGGCATTTGGGAAGATCTGTTCACCCTCTGCCAGAGCCGCACCAAGTTAGGCACTGCGTGTTGGTTGTGCAGGAGGGGCTGGGGAGGCAGTGGGAAGGGGAAAGTCTCGGCTTTCCACTCTTCATCACATCCCCAAATCTTTCTCTCCAGCTAGAGGCCCTGAACCAGTCGATCAACATCGAGCAGTCACAGTCCGACCGCAGCAAACGGCCCTTCAACCCTGTCACGTGAGTGAGGGTGGGGAATAAGCAATAGCAAGGGTGGCTGGGGAAGGGGGGGTTCATGGGAAGGCTCAGGAGAGCGCTGTGGGTAGCACACCCTCCAGTTTTACTGCCCACAGCAGAGTTTTCCTCCCTTTTTGCTGCCCGCTCCCTTTTGTGCCCAATTTGTAGCCCTACCATAGAGGAGCAGGACAGGAGATGGCCGTTCCTCAAGGAGCCTCCTCTCCAGAAGCATCCTCACTTGCTCCTGTGTTTTCTCTTCGACAGGGTCAACCTGCCTCCAGAGCAGGTCACTAAGGTTACTGTGGGGCGGCTGCACTTCAGCGAGACCACGGCTAACAACATGAGGAAGAAAGGAAAACCTAACCCAGACCAGAGGTGAAGAGCAGGGACGCCTTTACAAATTGTTCTGTGCACTCAGGGCCTGTGGATGTGCCAGCCCTTGCTTTGGGAGGCAACAGGCCCTACGCTGGCCATCTTTTTCTCATGGAGGACGGGAGATGTCTGCTGTGGCCACTGTGGTCTGCCCCATTCTATAAGGGGTTGTGGACAGGGGAGAGGGGATGTGTACAGCTCCCTGTGACAGCCTGGTGCCCTGTCCTTGGGGCAGATGCAGCAGTTTGCAGTGCAGGATGGCACCCTGACCTCTCTCCCCTCTTGACAGGTATTTCATGCTTGTGGTAGCCCTGCAAGCACATGCACAGAACCAGAACTACACACTTGCAGCCCACATCTCTGAGCGCATCATTGTCCGAGTAAGTCCCCCTCTCCTCCCATAGCCCTTTGCTGGATGAACTGGGCAGTTCTCCTGCACCTCTCTAGCTTTTCAGTGCTTTCCCCTCCCAGCTGTTTCTTCCCTTTTCCAAGGCTGCCTTGCTTGCAGCTATCCTTGCCCATGGCTGTCCCTGTCCATGCCTGCGTTCTCATTCCAGCCTTTCCACACCTGCTTGGTTGGAGCAGCCTCAGGGCATGCAAGAACTTGTTGCGGGACAGGGAAGGTGTCTCCTCGCCCTGACCTTGCACTGGTGCTTACAGTAGAGCTGCTGGGAGTGAGGGAATGGTGTTGTGAGGATTCCACAGCAGGGACAAGACCTCTTGGTGCAGAAGGACTGGGTGCCCTGCCATGGCTGCACTTTGTGCAGCAGCATTCAGATGGGAATGCAGAGCGGCAGGAGGAGGTAGGCATCATCCCTGAGCTTTCCCAGGGCTCTTTTAATGAGTGTTTAGCTCTGTGGGCTGAAGGTAGCAGGTAAAATGCAAAGAGAAGGACCTTGAAGTCTGCAGACTGACGTAAAAGGAATTGTGCAGCCTCCAGGATGCCCAGAACTGCAGGGAACTGCAGGCAGCCTGTGGTGCTCCATCCCAACAGGTTGCAGAACAGTGGGATTTGGGGGACTGTGGAGCCAGGAACAACAGCTGTGTCACTTATGGACTCCAGATGTCCTTGTGTTGAGTTGGAATTGTAAGAGCTCTGAGGACTGAGATAACACAGCTCAAGAAAGCAAGGATATTCCTTTAGGGAGAGGAGCAGAGCAGGCATAACCTTGGTTCCTGATGAAAGAGGCTTGGTCAGGGCCAGCAGATGAACGCCAAGACTGCAAAAGCAGGCTGGGATTTGTTCCCAGAACTGGCAGTGTATCCCTGTCCCTGCCACTTTCCTTTGTGCTGCTGCAAAGCTCTAACACCTTCACAGCCTCGCTTGTCCTCTTGTGCTGTCTGTCAGCTTCCTGCTGTCCCTGCTGTAGTGCAGGTGCTGTTGCAGCTCAGCCTCCAGGTGTTCCTAGAGCCGCGTGCTGTAGAGAAGGCACCTCCACCAGGGTCCTGTGTCATGAGCTTTTAATCTCAAAAGTCCCCTCCAGCTTCTCAAGCCACTTTGATCAATCTGCCCCTCTTCACCTGAGATCTTCCCCACCCCTGACTCCCATTCGCAGATCAAGGACACAGCTGTGTCACTGGGGTGCATCTGCTTATCTCTGCCTTTTTCTCCTGCCTCTTCCCAGGCCTCCAACCCTGGCCAGTTTGAGAGTGACAGTGATGTGCTCTGGCAGCGGGCTCAGCTCCCTGATACCGTGTTCCACCACGGTCGGGTGGGCATCAACACGGACCGCCCCGATGAAGCCCTCGTGGTCCATGGCAACGTGAAGGTGATGGGTTCCCTGATGCATCCATCAGATGTCCGAGTGAAAGAGGACATCCAGGAGGTAAGAGCTGAGCAAACCAGGCTGGGCTTCACTGACATGGCTCAGAGCAGGCCTCAGGGCCCTCTCACACAGTGCCTCTTGCTCTTGGGACCTGTCATAAAGGTGAACCATTGTGAGTTTTGCCATCTGGGGTCAGAGCAATGGGATGTAAGGAAGCAAACCCCCACTTAGGAGATGCATGTCTCTGTTTTGTCCCAGGTGGACACCACAGAGCAGCTGAAGAGGATCTCACGGATGCGGCTGGTGCACTACAACTACACACCTGAGTTTGCAGCTACGGTGGGCATCGACAACACCTCTGAGACAGGTACAGACCCTGCATTGTGCTACCCTGCTTGTGTCTGCAGCGCTGGAGCTGGGCTTGTTCAGCCTGGAGAGGGCTCTGGGAACGCTTCACTGTGGTCTCCCGTGGTTCCTCTGCTGAGACTCAGTGGTCTGTGGGCCTCTGATGAGCTCTGCTCAGGATACTGTGTGCACCCTGTACTGTCCCCAGCACAGAGAGCTCCTGTCCATAATCTCTCGGGTCAGAGGAAGAGCTGTGGCAGGAGGAGTGCTGCCCAGAGTCCTGAGAGCCACTGTGCCATCTCCACACAGGTGTCATTGCTCAAGAGGTGAAGGAGATCCTCCCTGAAGCAGTGAAGGACACCGGGGACCTGGTCTTTTCCAATGGGAAGACCCTGGAGAACTTCCTAGTGGTGAACAAGGTCAGTGGCAGCCTGAAGGGACAGGAAGGGCAGGGAAGCTGGAAAGGCTGTCGAACCTGGGTCAAGAGAGTTGTAGAGCTGGAACAGGGAAAGCGTGGAACAGGGAACGCTTCTAAACCAGTACCATCCATATGAGTTTCAGACTTGGCTGATCTTTCAAATGGCAGGAGCTGACCTGAGTTGACAGTAGACATCTGCAGGGAGGAGCTTGCCTGATGTTGTTGAACGTTGTCAGCATCTCCCTCAAGATAGGCTTCTTGTTGGCAGCCTCCTGCAGGGAGGCTCTTGGTCATAATCTCCTTTCTAGATAAGATAAGGTGGTTATGTCAAGATAACCAAGAGCACCTGTGTGCCTGAACTCACTGTAACCTGTGGCAGCCCTGTTTGCTGCTCTGGGTGTTGAGAGGATGGATCTCACTGTCTCACTGCTCTCCCAAAGCTGCCAGCTCTCTCCTGCATCTCTCCCTCCTCAGTGCCTAGAGCGAGAATGGCCAGGGCTGACAACTTAGTGCATCAGGGATCCTTTGGTTTTTAAGAGCATCTCTCTTGTTCTTGCTGACTGTTTGACCTGTTCCATGGCAGGAGCGCATCTTCATGGAGAACGTGGGAGCTGTGAAGGAGCTGTGCAAGCTGACGGACAACCTGGAGACCCGCATCGATGAGCTGGAGAGATGGAGCCACAAGTTGGCCAAGCTCAAACGTCTTGACAGCATGAAGTCAACTGTGAGCTCTGGGGCGTTCAGGTATGGGCATGCTGAGGGCAAGAGTCCAAATGGCTCTTTTCATAGAACCATTAAGGCTGGAAAAGACTTTTAGGATCACCAAGTCCGTCATCAACCCGTCCATATCCACCAACCGTGCCCTCAGTGCCGTATCCACACATTTCTTGAACACCTCCAGGGACCCCAGGCAGTCCTGAATGGCAGCTAATTTTGGGAGAGACGGGAGGGGAGGAGGGAAGATTGGTAGGGTATTGGCAGTTGTCATTTGGTCTGGAGTTGTTTTAGAGTGCTGAGGCAGCTCTAGCATCCACATACCAACATTGTGCTCTCAGACCAGCTCCCCCCCAAAATACTATAAAATGGTCACCACATTTTTCCAGGGTTAGCGAGTGCCTTTCTCAGAGCAAAGAGTTTCCAAATTGTCTTACTAACCTATGCCAGCTTATGAAAGTTTGGAGCAGAATTCAGGCTTTGTACCAGCACTGTGTCTGCCCCCTGGAGCAGGCTGGGTGGCAAGACTTTGTCACTTCACACAGAGTTGCCTTTTTGCCTGAGAACCTTTTCTTCTTGCAGCCAAACGGGAAGCCAGTTCAGCCGTGCAGGAAGCGTGCCCCACAAAAAGAGGCCTCACAAGATAGCCAGCAAGGTAAGGGACTGCTCCCAAACAAGCCTTGCTGTGTGGGGAACTTTCTGGGAACAACATTCTGCGTAGTTCTGCAGTGTTTTCCTGCACATGCTGCAGAGGGAGAAGCCCTGAATTTCCATTTTGTCTTTGCCCAAGGGAGGTGTTTTCTGGCTTTGCTCTGAGGGGGCTGGGGGCTCACAGGGGAGCAGGAGGAAAGCTTCGGATGTGATATGCTCAGAAGCAGGGAGGACCAGAGGACCTGACCTGAGCTTGGGATTTCTCTCTTGTAGTCGCCGTCGGTTGTCCCGGAGCAGGCCTGCATCAGTCAGCGCTTCCTGCAAGGCACCATCATTGCCTTGGTGATCATCATGGCCTTCAGGTGGGACCACGCATCCAGGTCTCCCTCCCTCCATCTCATCAGCTCGGTTTAGGCTGCACCAACCAAACTGGCAGTTCTTTGAAGCACAGTTCTCAGGAGTGGTCTCTCTCCTTACTGCATCCTCAAGGCTTCCCAGCACCGTGGTAGGGAAGCATATCAGTGTCTGAGAACAAAGTCATCCAGCTTACTCTGCCATCCATGGGGTGGTCAGTGGACCTACAGATCCATTTGTGGAGTGAAATCCTTTGGCAGCAGGTCAGCACCGTGCCATGTCCACTGCTCCATCCTCAGCCTGGACCTTTGTCTTTGCAGTGTGGTGTCCATGTCCACGCTCTACGTGCTGAGCTTGCGCAGCGAGGAGGACCTTGTGGATATTGAAGGGTGGGTATCTCTGGGCTCCATGGGATGGATGTGGTGGCTGGGGCAGACTAAGGCAAGAGGAGCAGCTGCTGTGGGGTTATTGACCACAGCTGTAAAGCCAGTCAAATGCATCATGTGCCCAAGCCTTAAACTGTTTGCAGCAAGAAGTGAGGAGCAGAAAAAAAGAAAACATGCTGATGGTTGGCTGCTGACCATTACTCGTGGTCTGTCTGAATGTTATTTGGGTGCCTCTTCTGCTGCACTAAACAGCAAAGTCCCAGCACTGAGTTGTGGGGTTGGACTCGTCTGTAGGAAGCAAAGGTTTTCCTTAGTGTGGAAAGAATGTCAGGCATGTACACAGTCAGCCTGTGCTGGGCATTCAGTTTCAGCACACTTTGCTCCTTCAGGAGCTCGTGGCACCATATAATGAGCATCTTTCTCTCTTTCTTTTCCCCATCCCCTCCCTTACCTTCTGGTTACAATTTCCATCCAACTCATTTTGTTTCCATTTTCTCTTTAATTTTCCCTTTCTTTTCATTTCCATCACCCACATCCTCTTCCATTGCCTCCCTTTACTTCCCTTCTCTGTTCACTGCCCCATAGCTCTTTTGCTGTGCCCACTGCCTGTCTACTGGCCCTCTTTCGGCACAGGGGTCCCGGGGTCCCAATTGCTCTGTGCCCACGGTATGTTACTCTTTCATTATACTGTTACTTAATTGCTGCATCCCTTCTCTTAGTTCCCCTTTTTTTTCCATCTGCACCACAGAAGACAAAATCTTGAGCAAAATGTGGCGGCTCAGCAAGTGAGGTTCCAGGAGTTATGCCATAGAGTCCTTAAGGTTGGAAAAGACCTGTAAGACCATCAGATCCAACCACACACCAATCACTGTAGTGCCCATCAAACCATGTCAGGCAGTATGGAAGGGGAATTGTGATCAGCAGAGTGAAGAACCAGTGAATCAAAGGCTAACTAAAGAAATTGCACACTGCAGGTAGAGCAAGAATAGGCAGTACTTAGAAAGGAAGAAAATTAAAGAATTAGCCCCAGAGATGTTCCTACACTCTCTTTGTATATGAGTAGCTTTATTGTGAAGGGTCACTCAATTACAGGTGAGCTTAGCGTGCAAAAAAAAGGGCAGGAAAAGAACTACTTTAACTACTTCCATTTATGAGCCATCACCACTGAGAGTACTTGGAAAGGCAGTGACCCACTTCTGGTGCCTGACTCACTAACAGGCAGTCTATGAGCTCCACTCCTGTATATTGGCTCTGCAGGAAAGCATCTTCAGAAAAAGAAGCAAACAGAAAGCAGTTTGAGAGGCGTGGCCTTTAATGCAGCACTGCAACCCAGGGAAAGCTGGCTGAGTTAATAATTAGGAACAGATGTGTAAAGCAGCTTTGTCAATGTGATCTGTAGCAACATACTTTCCTTCAGAAGTGAACAGGTCCTATTTGTCTACCAGCACTCTTTGAAGAAAATACTGTGTGAAGAGCAGCACAAGGTATGGCTAATTTGTTCTTTTAAGAATGCCATGAGGTTTACAAGAGGCTGTTAAAAAGTAATTGATGATGGGAGGCAAGATAAAGCTGGGCATGGTGAGTGTTGACAAGGTGGTGGAGGGATGGAGGTAGATCTTAGCTGGGATAAAGACTGGCTCCAGAGGCTGGGTCTGCTTTTCCTCCAGCAGTCCAACACCATGTCTCACTAATGAAAGAAATATGTAATCAGGTACTTCTTGGAGGTGACAGCGTTATTTTGCTGTCTCTAAACGAATGAAGGCTCTTTGAGAAACCTTGAGCAGTGCTAAGAGGACAGGCAGGACATGGCTTCAGGACAAGCAAAACATGGGAAAGAGAAAACTGAAGTGAGGAGGGAATGGACAGGTCAGGTCTTCCACTTCTTTGCTATGAGCTCAGGAGAAATCTCTATGCAGTGAAGAGCTACAGCTTACACTCATTCTTGCCAGAAAAGCAGAACTGTCACCCCATCCATTGTGGCATCTCCAAGCTGTCTGTGCTGTGTTTGCGCCTAGTGTTCTTCTTTCCTGTCTTGCTTTTTGCAGATCACTGCAGGCTTTGCCCCTCTTCCCCTGTCTGTCGTCACTGTTTGCTTGTTCCATCCCCCGCTCACTGCTACACCCACAAAGTGATCCCCCGTGGCAGAGTTTCACCCCTGCTTTCCTACGTTTCAGGTCAAGCCAGAATATCGACAAAACACAGATGGTGCGATCCACAGCTGCATCAGACAGAGCCAGCAGCAGGACCCCAACACACCACGGTAGGTCGCAGCTGCAGCTCCACGCCAGAGGCTCATGGCACGGAGCTGGCTCTGTGCTGGGAGCTCCTCAGAAGAGATGCAGAGGGTGCTCTTGGCTTACTCCATCTCTCTGCTCTTTGCCCTGCAGCCACATCACACGTGCTCGACTTACTCGATGCTTTACCTGGTCACAGCGTGCTAGCCTGCTTCAACCCACCGTGTTTCTCCACTTGCTGCTCTGCTGCTCCCACCAACGCCTCCTCTGTTGCCCTCTCTGAGGCCAGCCCTACTCATGTCACCAATCAGACAGGTAAGTCCCATCCCAGCAGGAGGGAGATGCTGGGACAATGCTGAGCTCTCTGTCCCACTACTGCATCACTTCGTGGCCCCAGATTCCTCTCACCTGGTTTTCTAACCCTGCACCTGCCCAGGGACTGCTGGGCTGCCGATGTGGTGTGGTTTGTACATCCGTGGTCCTGCTTCCAGGGTAAGTGGCAACAGAAGAGCTCGCTCTGCCAGTACGGAACCATGAGAGCTGGCCAGTGTGCCCAAGCAACTGCAGTTTGCAGTGCAGCCTCAGTGCTGTTTGCTTTTGGCAGGCCAGGAGCTGTGCTTTACAAGCCCACTTATTATGTCACTACTGCAGGAGGAGTGGCAGCGTCTCAGGCAGTCACTGTCCAGCCATAACACCCCTGGAGTCATAGAACCATAGGAATGTTGGTTTGGAAGGGACCTTAAAGATCATGTGGTTGGGTTGGAAGAAACCTCAAAGCCCCACCAGCTCCACCCCCTGCGCATGGGCTGGGTGCCCCTACAAGCTCAGGCTGTGCAGGGCCCCATCCAGCCTGGCCTTGGGCACCTCCACGGATGGGGCACCCACGGTTTCCTTGGGCAGCTGTGCCAGGGCCTCACCACCCTCTGAGTAAATAATTTCCTCCTTACGTCTAACCTAAATTTCCTATCATTTCCATTCCCCCTTGTCCTATTACTCCATGCCCATGTAAAAAGTCGCCCTCCTCCTGTTTGTCAGCTCCCTTTAAGTACTCGAAAGCTGCAGTGAGTTGTCCTGGAGCCTTCTCTTGTCCAGGCAGAATGAGCCCAGCTCCCTCAGCCTGTCCTTGAAGGAGAGGTGCTCCAGGCCATGCCTTCACCCTGCCTTTAGCTCTGCCGTACACAAGGGCTGTTAAATGCAAGTGTGACACAGGACATGACAAGGGGACAGGACCATCCCAGACCCTCAGCCTCTCAGCACAACATCTCTCCCTTTCCTTCGCAGACCAAAGTCAGACCTCACTGCAGCCAGTGACAAATATCAAAGCCAAATCCAGGGGCATCACCAGGAAGGCAACCTCCTACACCAAGCGGCCAAAGACGCCTGACAGGTCTCAGAGCTTCGGCAGCCCCAATGCCAGCCCCTCCTCCCCCTTCACCCACCTCCAGGGCAAATCCAAGTACATCTCCAACCTCTCGCTCTCCCGCAGCAACTCCCCACTGGGGCAGGCCCGGCCGCAGCGCAGCATCAGGCAGCTGGTGAGCGAGTGGCCCCACACACAAGACCCCAGCACGGATGGTAGGTGGGCCCCTGGCCGCCTTCTCACGGCTCTTCCTCACTTGCCAGCCCTTTTCTGTTCCTACATAGCCCATCTCCCACCCACAGGGCCAAGCCCAGTGCTGCGTTCCATCCGGATCCTGGAGATTGATATGGCCATCCAGTCCCAGTTCTGTGCAGCCAGCAGTGCATGCAGGTGAGGAAGACGGCAGTCCTTGGGGAGCTCCAGAAGCAGATGGGCTATTCCTGGATCCCTGGGCCTTCACTTGCCATCACTCCAAGGCAGCCCTTGGGCACAGGAGCTAGGGCTCCTGCTGAGCCCAGCCCTGCTCATTCACGCAGTGTGCAGGAGGACTGGATACAGTGATTAGCCGGCTTGGGAACTGGCCTGGGGAACCCACCCGTCTGCAGTTCCAGCCCAGAGAAGGGACTTTAGAGCCCATCCTGGCCATCTCACAGCCAGCTGGATTGCTGCAATGAGGTCTTTTTCTGTCTCCCTAGGACTGGAAACTTCACCTACCGCATCCCCATCAGCCAGCTGACAGCAGTGAACACCAACCTGACCCTGGAGATGAAGTGAGTGGACAGGGCTCCTTGGTGTTCCTACGTCCCTCAAGTGGGCTGGGTACTGCGCCATGTCACCATGGTGTCTCCTCTCCAGCCTGGTTAGAGACAGCAGTGCCTGGCACCTTCCAGGGCTTTACCACCTCTTGTCTCCCCAGCTCCTCCTCTGTGCTGTCCATTTCCCTTTGCGGCCTTGTCTCCAGCGACCCTTGCCAGGATGTTGCAAGCACAGACGGCTTCAGTGATGGCACAGACACACAGGTAGGCAGGGGCTCAGTTCACACTACCCACGTGTGTGAAGCATTGTGCTCAGACAGCTGTCCTGTGCACTGATACTACATATTCCTGAGCTGATGCTTTCATGGGGCTGGATAAAGTGTTTAAGTGCTTTTTGTCCTGCTCAGCCTGTCTTCATAGCTGAGCATGGAGGTGCTGTTCCTCCATAGACTGCTGTAGGATCACTCGATGGAGCAGAGATGTGCTCTGCTTCCCATGACAGCCTTGGAGACATCCCAGGATGCTCAACCCTGCTCTCACCGCAGATACTGTTTTCTTCCCCAGGAAACGACACACCGGTGGCCTCTTGTGATGCTGTCTTTCAGGGAGTTCACCTACCACTTCAGGGTGGCACAGACTGTGAGTACAAGCAGCTGCTTTGCTCCTCTTGTCCAGGGCTAAGTGGGAGGACGGCAACGGGAATGTGGCATCATGCATCCTACCCCGACCTGTAAGCTCTTCTTGCTTTCTCACGTAGGGCCGAGCCAACTGCAGCACTACTCCCGAACAGATGGGACACCTTTTTACTGACTATTATTTTCAGTTCTACTGGCTCTGTGAGTGAGTCCTGGCAGCACCAGTGCCCTTTGGTTGGAGAGAGGAGGGGGACTGGTGACACTGGGGAACTTCCTGTACACCCTCCTCCGCTGACCCCCAGCCCCACCTCAGCCCCCCCATCGCCCTCCTTGGGGGTGGAGATGGTTTGGTTATGGCTGGCGGTGCTGACACTGAAGTACAGCACATACGGAACACAGGACCTAAGCCACAGAAACACAACCAGCCCTGCGCCATCTCCTGGGCTCACCTAGCACCAACACTGCCCCAAACACCCCTCCTTCCCTTCTGGGGACGCTTGTGTCCCCCAGCCCCTGCAACACTGGATTTGAAAGCATTACACTGGATGGAACGTGGATGGATCTGCCATATCCCAGAGCATGGGACTTGCCCAGCTGTGCCACGTCAGTTCTCCACAACACTGGAATTGCTCAACACTGGAGCCCTTTCCAAGAGGGAAAAGCTGGAGTTTCACCTGGAAAGGAAAGGCTGTTCCTGGACGTACTGGAAGTTGTACACTGGAGTTGCTGTTCCTTCAAATTGGACCTGCAGCCCCACCGGACCCCTGGAGACCCCAGGACTCCTGTTCTCCACAGAAGGTGCAGCTTCCGCATTTGCCCCCCTCCTCACTGTGCTGTCACTATATCCAGGTCAGGATGGATAAACTCAAAAACCCCACTAAAGATGCTGCTCAGGCTGTGCTCAGGCCAAACTACACGTGGGGGACACTTAACCATCAGCCCCTGGGAGGAAAACTACCCCAAGCCACTTGTGTTAAGTGTTGGTTAAACACTGTAGGACCCATTTTCTTCAACTGCCAGTGGCCACTTGTGGTGTGCACAGAGCTGCCCAGTTGGCTCTGAAGAAAAGGATGACTGGCCAAGCCCAGTGTGCCCTGCAGAGCACAGCTGGGCTGCTGGGGCTGTGTGGTGTGGTTTCACTACGTAACCAGCGGGGGAAAAGCAATGACAGTGAGTTCTCACTGCCTCTGCTCTCAGAACGCAGTTACGTTGAGTGTACTCTGGGTATTTTACTGTTACAAGTTCTTAACTTGCTAAACTACTGAATTTAATTTCTTTTTTTAAGCCACATAAAAATGGGTCTCTTAATTCTGTCCCTGTTGAGCTCTGTGCATCTTGCATAGGAAACCGAAGGGGGGCACTGCTAAGCTCGATGTTAAAGCCTGATTGCTGCAGCAGTACTGAGATGTCAGCTCCCAGTGCTCCTATGCCGTCCTTTCTGTCCTGCTCCAGCAAAAGGAGACCTCTGTGCTCCTGGAGGCTGAACCACCACCAGCTCCAGAAAATGGAGACTCATTTTCCTAAGGAAGCAGCACTGGAGAATGGCAGCGAGGGGGAACCCTCCGGTCCTGAAGGAAACCCTGAAGCTGATTAAGAGAAGAGCACACCTTTTGGGAAACAACATCAGGGTCTGGCTGCTGCATTCGTTCTGTCAGTGGAGGTAGATGCAGCGATCCCTTTGCCAGCTGCAGGCCATGTTTTTTCCATCGCTGAGGAGCACAGGGCAGGAGCAACTCTCTACCAGCAGGCTCTTCTGCTCTGGAGAAATGAGCTGCAGAGATGTTTTACCTGATAGATGGTTCCTACATGCGCTGCTTCTGTTACAGAGCTCCCTTCTGAGGCTGTCCCAGTAGAGCAGCCGCACCCTTGCAATTCCTTGCAGCATCACTGGGATTTTGCGTGGCTGCCCTTCCAGGACCTTGCCCTTTCCTTTAATTGCAGGGCAGTTCCAAGGTCAGATCTCTATTCCAATGCTGTGCCCATGGGCAGCAGTGGATGATATGGGGGATGCTCTCCAGCAAGCACAATGCACTGAAGTCTGGGCAGCCAGGAACCAGAGGGTGAGCAGGGAATGCCAGGCAGCCAAAAGGAATGAAGCTTAGGGAGACCTTTGGGGAGCTCGGAGGGAGAGCAAGAGGCACGGCAGCACAGACACAAACAGGTCAGCTCTGTGCTCAGCAGGATTTTCTGCTTCTGCAAGGAAACCCTCTGGTGGACTCTCAGAGAGGATGCTCAGCACTCCTCTTTCCACCTGTCCTATGCGTTCTGCTCAGCCTTAAACTGAAGAAGTTACTTTCTTGGCAGCTTTTACTCTCCACTTGGCAATCAGAGGCTCAGCCAATCCTCGTCCTGGCGAGCAATGCCCTGTGCTCTGCCAGCCCTGCTCAGCTGAGGGGCAGCCTTCTCAGACCCCACTGCCATTTCTCCTAGCTGCCCACGCTCTCTTTTAGCCCCCACAGAGGTAACAGGCAGTGCCGTGACGGCTGGAGCCGACAGTGCTGCCTGCAATCACTGCCACCAATCCACCCTTGCCAACGGAGCCCCTGAGCCACACGTGTGTCTCCCCGGCTGCAGGCAGGGAGGGAGAAAGCAATCAGCCACTGGACACATGCCAGCCCAAGAGGAGATGGGGGTCTCTCAGGTCCCTGTGATGCTCAGCCATTGGGTTACAATGGCCTCAGCAAAACAAGTGCCTAACGGCTATGGGAACATCTCTAGTGCCTTGTTCTGCCAACAGGGTTCCCTACGCCTGTGTGTCTCAAAAACAGCGGTCTGTCAGCTTGAGAAACAAGGCAGTACCCGAAGTGCAACAGGTGATGCTGCAGCTGTTTTACAGCAGGAAAACAGAAGGGGCTGAGAGCAATCCGTGGTATCAGAGGAGAGATTCAGAACATCATCTTCAGCATCTTACGTTGCAGTAATTTGTCTTAATGTACATCACAGATCACACATCTGTTCCACCAGCAGCCGAGCAGCAATGAGCTCAGAAGGTTTTTGTAACAAAAAAAAAGTCAACAAGACTGCTTCTCAGCCCACGGGAACAGCCGTTTGCACAGACCACCCCTGGAAGCTCTCTGCCCTGCCCACTGCCCTGTTCCCCACTCCCAATCAGTAACCAGAGAGTTCACAATCAGGCCTTTACCTGCGTGAGACGGGGGGAGCTCTGAGCCAATGTCTCCAGCCCTGCAGCTCGGGGAAACCCTTCTTCAGCTGGAAACAGGAGCTTCATCTCTCTAGACATTCTTGGCAGAAAGGAAGCCAAGCATGGAAACAAGGCCACTTGCCAAAGTTTGGCTGTTTCGGAGTTTGTTTCAAAAGCAAATTCACAAACATTCTGTCCTACTGTCAAGAGCTTAAAGCCTGTAAATAGAGACTATACCACCACAAGAATTAAGAAAAAAAAAAAGTAAAGCACTAATTTGTTTGGTTTAAATGTTGCTGTCACTGCTTTAATCACTGTATATTGCCAGCGAGTTCGTAGAGTTGCCTTATTAGCAGGTATTATTGATCATAGGTTTTTATTTGTGGGGAACAAGTGTGGTTTCCCTTCCTTTCTTTCTGATTTATATTTATATTTTGCTAAATTGGAGTGCTGAGTCTTCAGATTCCCCACTTTTATGTTTGGCTTATTTAGACTTTGTTTTATGCTGGAGGTAAATATGCCTATATAAATAAATATATGAACATTGCTTTGTACTCAAGGATGGCTCCTGGCTGTGTTCCTCCCTCGCTCTTTTTTCCCTTTCAGTTCACAAACTGCTCATCACAAGAGCGAGGAACCCCAGTGCAAATGACTCAGTGGGAGCTGCCAGACGTGCCCACAGCGGGCTCAGGACAACTGCAGGTGTCCTGCTTTGGAACAGATGTAAGAAGAGCTGTGGCTGCTCACGTCTCAGAGGTCAGGGCCAGATCCAAAAGGCATCTGAGAGAAGCTGCAGAGGGAAAGCTTCCTCCGGACAGTGTATCAAGGCTTTAAGTCTGTGTGGTACCTGCAGAATTTGTAACTCCGAGTCCTAACTGCTCTGAAGGCGAGGCTCCAAATGCAAGCTGCCTTACAAGCAGAGCGATGCGTGCCGTAAATAAATGCTTTCAAAGCATTAATTCAATAATGCTTGAACAAAGGACACAGTCAGCTCAAGCATTCCTCCAAAACCTCATGTCCCACAAACACAGTTTGTGTCACCCGAGACTTCTAGACTCCAGCTGCAGCAGGGCACAAGGCAGCACTGAAACACTTCTGGGCATACACAGCACTGGACATCCATGAGCAACAACAAATCCTCAGTTGGAGTTAATGCTTCTTTCAAACAAAGCTCTAGCTCATTAAAATGCTCTTTGTAACTTTTCTGCAGTGCTGAGCGTTGTCCAACCAGACACCACTCACTGCAGCACAGGAACTCTATTGCCAAGACATCTGAGTTCGATACCAGGGTGCTACACACCACCAGCTGCAGTTTCACAGCATTTGTTACTCTCTGCAGTAGGATGTCTAGCTAAATTCCCCTCGTTTTTTCAACTGCTTAGAAGGAAATATGAATTATGCTTATCTCCTTACAAAACAGCTGCTTCTGCTGCTCCAAACAGCCCAGGAAAAGGCTGTGGGTACAATAAAGGGCCTGTCCCAAGGCTTATGGATTTTGTGCAGAAATCAGAGTTGGTTCAGAAAGTTAAGTACAAACATCTAAGAGACAAAACTGCAGGTGCATCACAGAGCCAGTTTTATTCAGGTCTGGTTTGTTGTGCTGGCAGGAGTCACCTGACAGGAGTACAGTCCATGCCTGAAGCAAACTCCCACACTGAAGTATAAAACAAATACAAAAAGAACTTCTCCGGAGTTTCCCACCTGGAACCAAAGGAGAGAGAAAGGAGGTAAGGCAGATTTCCCCACAGCAGCATCCCCACAGCACAGGGACAGATCCTCCATCAGGTGCTGCGAGGTTGGAACCACACCCTGAGTAAAAAAAGAGCACACAGCAAGCACAATTCTCACTGCTTCACATCAAAATGAACGTGTTCTGTTTGCAGAAGCGCTCTCTATCTAAATCAGCCAGCAGCCTCACCCTGTCACTGGGCACCTCCAAAAACAGTCTGGCCCCAACCACTTGACTCCCACCCAGTAGATATTTATAAGGATTGATCAGATCCCCTCTCAGCCTTCTTTTGTCCAGGCTGAACAGCCCCAGGGCTCTCAGCCTTTTCTTGTGAAGGAAATGCTCCAGGCCCCCATCAGCTTTGCCCTTCACTGGACTCTCTCCAGCAGTTCCCTGTCTGCCCAGAACCGGGGAACCCAGCACTGGCACAGTACCCCAGATATGGTCTCCACAGGGCAGAACGGAATGAGAGGAAAACCTCCCCCACCTGCTAGCCATGCTCTTTGTAACAGACCCCAGGATTCTTGGCCATGAGATCACACTGCTGGCTCACAGTCAACCAGTGGTCACCCAGGACACTCAGGTCCTTCTCCACAGAGCAGCACTGCAGCACCTCTGCTCCTAACTTGATACATGTAGTTATTTCTCGCTCTGCACAAGGCCCTGTACCTGTCAGGGTACAGCCCTTTGTGTGCCCCAAATCCACCCCTGAAGAAAGGTAGCTTAGAAGCATAATCTGGAGTTATGCTTTGCAGGCACCTCACACACAACATGCAGCACAAAGCTTTCATCCTGCTTACAGCCACTGGAGGTCCACACGTCACTCTGCCTGGGCCTCACACATAGATCCCAACCCACAGCAGCAGGAACAGGACACCAAACCCCATGAAGAGCGATGCCACCAGTGAGATCAGCAGCTCCTTGTAGATGTCTCGCGTGTACTTGGTGGATGTCACCTCATAACTGCCAGTGGAGGGTTAAGGTGACAACAGGGGCATGGCAAGGTGGGTCCCCCCACTCTCGGTGCCCAAGGATACACGAAGAACCATGCGGTGAAGAACATGCCAATGGCGAGCAGCACCACAGTGAGGTGCGGGAAGACAGCCGGGTTCACTGGGCTGGTGTACCTGCTCATTGCCTCTAGCTCCTGTGGGGGCATGGCACGGGGCAGCAGGGCTGCTGGGCCCCATGCTCAGTCCCTGGCCCTAGTTCCCCGGGTTCCCTGCCCCAACTATCATCCCTTTCCCGGCTCCTCCTCCCAGTTCCCGTTCCCCAGCTCCTAGTCCCAGCCCCGTTTCCCACTTCCCAGCCTCCAGCTCCCATTCTCGGCCCCAGCCCTCAGTTCTCGTTCCTGCTCCTTGTCCCTGAGTCTTGTTCCCCGCCTTTTTCCCAGTTCCAGCCCCCAATTCCCATTCCCTATATCGGTCCTAGCCTCGGGTCCCAGGCCCCGTACTCCGTTCCTGCTCCAGGTTCTCCTTCCCATTCGCAGCTACTGACTCCAGTCTCAGCTCCCGGTTCCCACTCCCGGTCTCAGTTTCAGATCCCAGCCCCAACCCCAGCTCCCATTGCTGGTTCCCAGCCCCAGGTTCCCAATTCAATGTCGGTCCCAGTCCCGGGTCCACGCCCCACCATATTGCCCCAGATCCCGGCTCCCGCCGCTCTCGGACACGTCCCCTCAGCAACTTCCGCTTCCTGTCACCGCCGGAAGCGGAAGTGACGCGTTCCGGATCGGGTGGGCCGGGGCCACCCGGAGCCGCTCGGCATTGGCTACCCAGCAGGCAGCGCGGCCTAGCGCGGGAACGGGGCAGGGTCGGAGTAGAGGGGTAATGGCTGCCGGGCGCCGTGGCGGGGGCAGCGCGGGATAACGGTGGCCGGAGAGGGCTGAGGGAGAAGTGGCGGCGAGAGAGGGCTGAGGAGGGCTTGGAGAGGCCGGAGTGGGGTCGAGGTGGAACTCGGGGCGGGCAACGGGAGGCTGCGGTGCGTGAGGCCTCCGTTCTTGGGACCCGTCCTCCCATTTCTCTCAGCTCCCGGTGCTTTGCTCTGTGCCCGCAGGATGGGAATCCACGGCTTGGCCAAGCTGATCGCCGATGTGGCGCCCAGCGCCATCCGGGAGAACGACATCAAGTCGTACTTCGGGCGGAAGGTGGCCATCGATGCCTCCATGAGCATCTACCAGTTCCTGATAGCTGTGCGGCAGGGCGCCGAGGTGCTGCAGAACGAGGAGGGCGAGACCACCAGCCACCTAATGGGCATGTTCTACCGCACCATCCGCATGGTGGAGAACGGCATCAAGCCTGTCTATGTGTTCGATGGCAAACCACCACAGCTCAAGTCCGGGGAGTTGGCCAGGAGGACGGAACGCCGCTCTGAGGCCGAGAAGCACCTGCAGGAGGCTCAGGAGGCGGGCGAGGAGACCAACATTGAGAAGTTCAGCAAGAGGTTGGTGAAAGTGACCCAGCAGCACACTGACGAGTGCAAGAAGCTGTTGATGTTGATGGGCATCCCCTATGTGGAGGCGCCAGGGGAGGCGGAAGCCAGCTGTGCTACACTGGTGAAGGCAGGGAAGGTGTACGCGGCCGCCACAGAGGACATGGATTGCCTGACCTTTGGGAGCCCTGTGCTGATGCGGCACCTCACTGCCAGTGAGACAAAGAAGCTGCCCATCCAAGAGTTCCACCTGAACCGGATCCTGCAGGACCTGGGGCTGACCTGGGAACAATTTGTGGATCTGTGCATCCTCCTGGGCTGTGACTACTGTGAGAGCATTCGCGGCATTGGGCCGAAGCGGGCGGTTGAGCTCATCAAGCAGCACAAAACCATTGAGGAGATCATCCAGCACATTGACACCAAGAAGTACCCCTTGCCTGAGAACTGGTTGCATAAAGAGGCCCAGAAGCTCTTCCTAGAGCCTGACGTCGTCAACCCTGATGACGTTGAGCTGAAGTGGACAGAGCCAAATGAGGAGGAGCTCGTGCAGTTCATGTGTGGGGAGAAGCAGTTCAATGAGGAGCGCATCCGCAATGGGGTCAAGAGGCTGAGTAAGAGCCGCCAGGGCAGCACGCAGGGCCGGCTGGATGACTTCTTCAAGGTGACGGGCTCCATCACGTCGGCCAAACGCAAGGAGCCTGAAACCAAGGGGTCAGCAAAGAAGAAAGCCAAGACCAACAGTGCCACAGCCAAGTTCAAAAAGGGGAAATAACTGGACTGGCCAAGCACAAGCCTCTGTTGTTAGTTTTCGTGCTCAGCTGAGAACTTTAGGCTAATAATAAATAGTCATCTTAATGTTCTGCGGGTTATTGCTGGGACGGGTGCTGTGTGTGTTGCTGTCAAAGTCCTTCCAACATGGCTAGGCTAGTGAGGGAGATGGCAGTCTGCTTCTGTAGCAGCTGTAATGCATGAGGGCGGGGAAGGGGCTGAGACAACTTCAGGTGAGGGGAGCTGGCCGAAAGTGGTGGGTGAAGACTGGAGCAGATGCCTTCAGCAGTTCAGCTGCAGCATTTGTCAGTTGAAGGCTTTTGACAATGAGGCCACAGAAACTGGATGTCACGCCTAGTCAAACAGCCCTCTGATTTAAGTAACAAAAAAGTTAGACAGCTAGAGAGCAAATCAGGCACGGCTGTTTGAGATTCCTCCCTCACACAGCTCATCCATAAAGAGGCCAGATGCAAGCAGCAGGAGCAGAAAACAGGGAAAGGTGAATACAGGGCAAAGTAGAGTTAGGAGGAGAATGAAATAATGAGGTAAGATGCTTCCTTTAGTGAGAATCTCAAGTGTGGGCTGCCTTCCTTTTTTGTAATTTTTCTTTAAAAAAAAAAGAAGTTTATTCTGGATTCAAAAGTTCTGGCTTACTCTTAACGTCTGTAAACCAAGGACAAACAGCTAAAACTGCAGCACTGAAGCCCCAGTCTTCCTACTAAGCTCCATTTATGTTTAACAAGAAAAATGGCAGTAAAGCTGAAGTCAATAAAATTCACCCCTTACTTTCTTGAGGCATCCTTTCACGTTGTACACACAGGCACACAAGTCCCAGGCTAAGGAAAAAAAGAAAAGATATTACCTTTTTAAATTATTATTTTGTTCTGTACTAAGCATAACCTTTTACTTGTCAGAGTGATCTGCTTTTCTGTTATCACTGTAGTTTTGTTTTAGTTTTTTAGAGAATAAAATGCGTATGCAAACATGACCTTTCTCAAGTTCTCTGGAGCGGTAGCTTAAACCTTGTTGAGGGCTGTGCAGGTAACAAACTCCTGATTTCAAATGGAAACCCACTGGTGTAAATCAGTGACAACAGCCAACAGATGAAGCACAGGCTTGAAGGTGAAATCCACGTTTTAATCTTGGTGTTAATGGTGGCTTTGGTGTGCTTGGTTGATCTCTATCAGCTGGTTGCTAAGTTATAAAAGAAGCTGGGCTTGTTTCACAGGGGAATTCCATTGATATTACAAAAATAACCCGGGATTTTCAGCCCTCTGATGTTTTTAATAAATACACTGTAGCCAAGAGCAGCAAGTGTTTCTGATTTTAAGATCTTTTTAATAGAAAAATGTAAACACTGATGTGCCACTGTGGGCCGCTGCTCCTGGGCAGCTGTGCGTGGTGTGCTTGAAGCTGTGCACTGCATAAGTGATGTGCAGGTAAAAGCAATGCAGTCTGCTCCTGTCACTTACAGTAATTATTGCTTTGGAAGAATCTTCACCCAGAAATGCAGGACATTTTTGCAGAGAAGTTTGGATTTCAAGATGTGAGGAGTGATGCTGTCAGTGTTGGTGCCTGACAGCGCGCAGCTCGTTAAGGAGATTAACCTGAAGCTTCATGTTGGTAGAGCCACAGCTTTGTTTCTCACGTGCTCAAAGCCACAGCGCGTGGGGCACTGGATGAAGGTTCCCATGCAGATCTCTGTCTTTGGATGCTGCTTCATCTTAAATCACAGGCAGATGCCCAGAAGGGATTATTTTCACCTTGAGGACACACCTGCTCAACCTTGGCACCCCATTAAGCTTTATTTGATGCTTTTTTCTCCCAGCTGTGGCTTTGCCAAAATGAATTTCCCCCACAGTCCACAACGGCACTAATGTTAATGAGCCCTTTCCACGTGGTTCACCGAGGAGGGGACCGGACCCAGGTTCACGCTTCCCAAAACTCTTCAGAGAGTTTCTAACGATCCCCTCTGCGGCATGAAACCTCTGAGCCACCATTTACTTTGGGGGCTTTGCTGTTGAGGGTGGAAGCCATAAATAAGCCGTGCAGAGAAAAAGCTTGTTAGCTGGAACGCACGTCTTCCCTGCAGTAGATGTCCCCACTAGCTCATGCTACCTCACTGCTACCACACGCGAGCCGTGCCATTGCTTTCCTTCCGCGCGGTTTCCTCTCCTGCCAGCAGGCACGCTGTGCTGACATACGGCGATACGGCTGAAGGCAACAGCACGGCAGTGAGTCAGTTCCGTCCTCCTAGGAGTGACAGGTGAGCCTGAGCTGCAGACTCCTCTCTTCGTAGTGTTCTCAGAGATTTGTTTCATCGCTGTGCTGGGTGATGCTGGGCTGATCGCACTGATCACGACAAGCCCCCAGCTGCACGCTCCCATGTACTTCTTTCTCTGCAATCTATCTGTTGTTGATCTTTGCTACTCCACTGTCTTTTCTCCAAGGCTGCTTAAGGTTTCTTGCTGGATAATAAAGCCATTTCCTACTCTGCCTGCTTCACCCAGCATTTCTTTTTCCTCGTGTCTGTGACCACAGAGGCGCTCTTGCTGGCCGTGATGGCATACGGCCGCCACGTAGCTATTTGCAACCCCTTGCTTTACATTATTTCCATGCCCAAGAGCTTTGCATGAAGCCTGTGGCTGGCTCGTGCCTGGGGGGCATTCTGAACTCACTAACCCAGACGTGCTGCTTGCTGTGCTTGCCGTTCTGTCGCCCCAGTATCATCAACCATTACTTCTGTGACACCAACCCCCTGCTGAAGCTCACCTGTTCTGACGGCCACCTCCATGAGCTTCTGCTCATCACCATCAATGGGCTGCTTCCCACAACTGTGCTCCTGGCCGTCACCTCACATGCACACATCCTCGTCTCCATCCTGAGCATCAGGTCTGCCAGGGGACGACACAAAGCCTTCTCCACTTGTGCCTCCCACCTGCTGACTGTCACCTTGTTCTACGTGCCTGCTGGCCTCAGCCACATGCAGCCAGGCTCCAAGTAGTCACTGGATGTGGAGAAGATTCAGGGCAGTGTTTTACACCTTGCTTGTTCCAATGCTCAACCCACTGATCTACAGCTTGAGAAATAAGGATGTCAAGGACACACTCAGGAGAGCAAGAGAGAAAATATTCTCTCAAGCTGCTCACTGTGTATTCTGACTCTTCTCTGTTACTCGGCAGTACATCCCCTTTCCTTGGTTGCATTTCTCTTAGAAAAACCCTGCTTTACAAAGATGCTTATTGTAAGGCATACAGTTAATTCACTTTTGCATTTATGCATGGAATCGTGGCTGTAGACTTTCTACCAGAATTTACATGGTTCTTGGAAGGCAAAGGATGAGTCTTGATGAAACATTAAAAAAGCTTTTTGCCAACTGTTTTCCTCAAGGCATCTTTCACCCCAGGCAACAAGCTGTTAACTCAGGTTGAGGTTGAGGTCCAAATCCATCAACAGTGTTAAGAATGTTAATTCTTGTCCGGTACTTTAAGTCAATATAAGGTAAATATTCTCTGAGAAGAAAACCTCAAGGTCCTGCAGGCCATCTCACATGCAGTAATAGATGAACACACAGAAACATCAGCAGAACACCCAGAAGTGAATGCTCATTTTGAGTCAGTGGAGGGTGTGCTTCCACCCAGCACAGTTCCCCAGTTTTTAGGGATGATCTCCAGTAACATTCCACACTGTTCTGAAAGGAAATGGTACAAGTAAATGCGAGAAACACCAGATCAGAATAAGATCAAATGCAGCCATTTCCATAAAGTCCATGATTTTCACAGTGGCTACTGGGAAAACGAAGTAACTCCTTATATTGTTGGTCAGATCAATGCAAGTATTTTTAATGTTTGTACCTGAAATTGCAGAAAGGGCCCAATGTGGGTTCGAGTTGGGTTTAAACAAGCCAGTCAACAAACAAGAACTAACAGAACAACAGAAGAGGCAGGTAGAGAAAGCATTCACTAATTGGCTAAAATAAGACAGTGATGCTTATTGGATTTGGGGCAAATTAGAAATGGAATCTCATAGTGCTACCATTTTAATTTTACAATTGTAGGCAAAAATCCTAAGAGAACATGATGATTGGTCATGAGTGTTATCCCCCAGGGATCGGAACTGGGGCCTGTCCTGTTTAATATCTTTACTGATGACCTGGATGAGGGGATCGACTGCACCTTCAGTAAGTCTGCATGTGACACCAAGCTGGGAGGAAGTGTTGATTGCCTGAGGGTAGGAAGGCCCTACAGAGGGGTCTGGACAAACTGGATCACCAGACTGAGGCCAGTTGTATGAAAGTCAACAAGACCAAGCGCTGAGGTCTTGTTGAAGAGAAGAGGAGGCTCAGGGAAGAACTCATCACTTTCTATAACTCCCTGAAAGCAGGCTGTGGTGAGGTGGAGGTTGGCTTCCTCTCCCAAATAACTAGCAATAGGATGAGAGCGAATGGCTTCAATTTGCTCCAGGGGAGGTTCAGGTTGGATATTAGGAAAAAAATCTCCAAAAAAGTGGTCAGGTGCTGGAATGGGCTGCCAGGGAGATGGTGGAGTCAGTGTCCCCGCAAGAAACATGTAGATGTGGTACTGAGGAACATGGGTTAGTGGGCAACACTGGCGGTAGGTGGATGGTTGGACTGTATGATCCTGGTGGTCTTTTCCAATCTTGCTGAGTCTATGATTCTGTGACTCTCTCGTGCCTTGTGACTTTGCAGCAGCCAAGTGTTTGAGCCCCCCATGCTCAAATGGCAGCCAGCTTTTGGAAGATCAACTGGCGAATCCTTCTCCAAAGGAAAGCGAAGAAATGCAGTCATTGATAAGGTATGACACCAGGCAGCTCTTCAGCCAAGGTTCTACCTGGACGAGAGCTGGAGCTGCTTCACCTCTCTCCATTGAGATGGCACAGCTCAAGGACCAGGAGATTCTGTGGGTCCACAGTTTGCTCAAAAGCATCGAGGAAATGGATTTAACTGTTGGATAATTTGTATACCTTCACATAAGCTAAGAAAAGGGGAAAACAAAAGTAATGAGTACAGGTTTGACATATAATGAGGCACACATGCTACACACCAGTAGGCAGTGCTCATTCAGACTTGACACGGACCATTGATCGTGGTCATATCAAGGTGATGGCTTAAACGTTGTTTCTGCTGCATACATCTAACTGTCAGCATGCTGTATGTTTAAATGTGCCTTTTCTGATGAGGACAGTGTCAGAGCCTTGGCGGGTACTCTGTATCCTAGGAACTTGGGCAGCAAATCTCCCAAGAAAGCCACATCTAGATGAAAGGACCAGAAAATGTGACTTCTCTCGGTGTAACTTGTCCTCATGTAAAAAGGAACAGTACTAAAACCAAGATTTTATCCTGCTGGGCTTTTCTTTGGAATTGATGCCAGAGCTGGAAATGAAAGGTAAATTCAGACTCTCTCTCAGCTCACCAGAGATAAACCAGCAGCTCCTAAAATGATGGTCTGCAATGCATGGAATGAAAGAAACAACAAAACAAGCATCGATTTTTTCCCGGATAACATTAATCACTACTTGACAGGGTTATACCAGAAAGCAGAGAAAGTGCACATCTTATCTGGTATCTGACAAATGAATGCACACTTAAAAGCCATTGTGATCTTCTAACACTTTGCTCTGGAGAAAACTTCAGCTCCACCTCATTTCAGATGCCCTGCAGGTGATGTGCATGGCTTTCCATTATTATTAATGGGGATTTAGAGCTGCTTTTCACTCTGTCAGAGGGGAAGCAGTGGGGTGCAGCACAATGAACTTTTGTGCGTCCTCCTGCCAGCAGCTGCTTCATGTCAGGGACCCTGAGTATTGAGATAAAGCCCAGGGGCACGGAGTCCATCTCAGAACGGGCAGATGAAACTCCCCATCAGGAATTACATCTCTTGAAGCCATTGTCCAGAGCAGAGGAAATTGAACTGCAAGCCATACCCTGAAGCCTCAGGTCATGCCCTCTTCATGCTCACAGCTCCATGTTCTGCTAAAGCAGCTGCCAGCAAACTCACCGATATTCATCCTTCTCCTCCTGGGGAAAGGACCTGCATTTTGGCAGCTGCTTTCCTGCTCATGATCAATAAGACCTTGCATCTCTTGGGCAAACCATTGCAAGACCTTCCAGTGAGCCACCCTGACCCACCAAGCAACTCTTCATTAGTTTTCTGACATTATAACCCCAAAGTTATAGCTGTGAGATCACGGCTGCAGAGCAGCACCTTGCAGAGCGGCTTATTAAAGGCTGTCTTGCTTCAACAGAGATTAATCTGCTCTCCTTATGGATGTTATCCACAAAACCTACTCAACTCTGCATCTGCTCCAGAGAATAAGAAGTTGAGAATGACCCCACCTAACCCAAATTTAATTGTAAAAGGGGAATTTCTTCCCAGGGAAGGTCAACAGGATGAACTCAAAGCCCTTACCAAGGAACCACACAGCCTAACTTATTTAATTCAGCACCTGAGAGCATTCAAGGACTGCTGCTCACCTGGGATAAGTTAGGTAGAAATGTATGTAAATTACATAAACCACAGCAATATTTTTGAGTTATTCACCTGCATGAGATAGTAGCTCTGATCTCTCTATTTTCATTTCCTTTATTGTAAAATCTGGAATATTTACATCAGGATAAAGATGTGCATTTTCAGATAACAGAAAAAGGAGCATCTCTTTCCAGCGTTGCCTGGTAGACAGCGATGGTGTACAGGAAATACTGATTGTGTTTGAGACAGTGCATCTCACGTTGAGTTAGAAATTCCTCATCCAGTCTATGTCTCAGACTTCTCTATCTCAAACAGCTTGGCTAAATGCTGGAGGAACGCAGAAAAGTTTTCTAGGGGTGGGGAAGAAATAAATGTGGCCACCATTCCCCCGGTGGGAGTTCACAGCATGCAACAGTTTCCAGCTAGAACGATGAAAGATGGGATCTGTGATTTCTGCCAGGACTTACTTCTTGTGCAAGAAATAAAGTCTTTGCTGTTGTTGTTATTCCCAAATGGCTCTTGCCCAGCTGAATAATCTCTGGATGCAGCCTCTACTGAAAATATTTTTTATTCTCCTTGTATCTAACAAGCCACTGTGGACATAAATTAGAAAGCCAATTAGAGCTTTGTTTTGAGCCTTTGATTGGCAGAAATTGAAAAGGGAAGGGAAGGGAAGGGAAGGGAAGGGAAGGGAAGGGAAGGGAAGGGAAGGGAAGGGAAGGGAAGGGAAGGGAAG